CCAGTCCATGGCGGGGCCCCTTAGCAGCGAAACTGCATACCGGATCTTCGCGGCGTCCGACTCGACGTAGTTTGCGTCGAGGAAGACGTTCATCGTGAAGACCCACGATTGAACCGTCGGACCTCCGCGTTGGCTTGGGTCGAAGCAGGGCGGGCGTTGCGGCTTGAGCGGCATTGGTGCCATGATGGCCTGTTCGCCACTTGTCGCCGCAAATTCCACGTGCCGACGGGCTTCCCGGGGCTCCCGCGGGCTTGGTGCGATCCTGCCTCCTCCCATGCCAGGCATCGGCTGGGCGGCGCCGTCACTGGCTGCGCCTGAGCGTTGTCCCATGCTGTCGTGTTGTGTTGGTGTGCCGGACGAGATGATGATCGGCTCGTGTGATTGTGCAGATGCATTTGTTGGTGCGTGGGATGTCGCCGGAATGTTCACCGTGGACTGTTGACGGACGGAGTCACGTTCCGCCGTGAGCGTCGCGATTTCGAGCGCCGAATCTTCCAGCTGACGCACGAGACGATCAAGTTGCTCCTGCGTTATTGTGGCGAGCGTGAAATCGGCCATGGCGGGGGTGTCGGGCAAGCTCAGCGAGAGCCTCGGTCGTGGCCGTGCGTGCTTACGAGAGAGCACTACGAGCGGCGGTGCTGTATCGCTGAGAGACGTCTACCCCCCCCCCCAAAAATTGAGATAGTGTGGAAGCGAAGGTGTGGATGCGGTCCGAGGTGAGATCGTAGGCTCTGAATACCAAGTGTTACGAGTGCAATTGAGTGAGCGAACGAGAATTGCACTATCGAAGCAAGAATACAATAAGCGAAGGCATGAGCGAAGAATATATAGCGAAACTACAGTGGTAACGGTAATGGACTGTGGTTGTCGCGCGACGGGCCTGGGACCGAGGTTTGGGAAAGTGTCGAAGCGGAGGCCCGGAGCGCGGGTTACCAGCCGAGCCGTGAGGTTGGGGTGCGATGTGCGAAAGTGGCGGGCTGATTGTTGATGCGAGGATCGCGAGTGGTAACGGTGCTGACTGTGGTGCTACAGTGATGTACGCGTTGAGCAGGGGTGCGAAGTAAGGAAAAGGAATTTTCCTTACAGCAAGATACAATGAGGGTAGAGAGCGGCATGGAGTGGGATGGGATGGAGTTGAGGTGATGTGGAGATCCTGTGGGTGATCATTTTAGAGATGGACCCTAGACAGTCAGGCACATTCTGATGCAAATGATTAAAGGATGGGGAGCTGTTATTCTGGCTGACCTGCTTATTATTCATCTATTTGCACAACACTGTAGGAGTCAATTAACTATGTCTCAAATGATTCACATACACTTGCGAATGATACTGGTAGTATGGCGCATTAGTATGAGTATAGTGGTGTCCACTGTGAATGGACATGAATGATGCATGAATCTAGTCATCAGCATGATGACAATCAGCAGTCAAGAAACTTGTGCAGCCGTTCCCCATCCCAAGCTTGCCATGTGCATGCTTCCTGTACATCAGGTGAAATCGGATCCAACGCCGGTGGGGATAATTCTGGTTGGACGCTGCCATGTTCCGAAGCAGGAGAAGGAGCACCCCACGCATTGCCCTGAACTCCAACCGAGCTGGTATGTCTGTCCAGCGAGGAACCGTCCTCTGCAGGAACGCTGATGAATGGCTTTCTGGGACGACAATTGCTCCGTACCCTCTCATCCTTGGAGACAAAAGGTGTATGCGCTGTGATGGTCGGCGTCTGACGATGTGATGGCTGACTGTGAGAACCCCACTCCTGTGCAACCACGTGGAGGGGAGAGACGAGCCGGGGAGAGGGAGTTGGCGGGAAAAGAGCGCACAGGTCGTCCACCATTTTGCAGCACGTGAGGTTCAGATTCAAGTCTTCGTCAGGATCAACCGCCATGGGTGACGATGGCATGACCACGTGTAGACGGCCTTCGCTGGTGGCTTCTGTGACCGGTGGAAATGACGCGAGCTGAGATTGGGACCTGTACAATTCACGGAATTCATCCTGAAGACAAAGAAAAGGATGCGTAAGTAGCTCAGCTGCTGTCGGTCTCCGTTGCGGGTCCCGGCAGAGGCATTTACTGATGAAATTGTAACAAAATGGAGACACATCTTCCGGAATCTCGGGGAGCTCGCTGGTGCAACCAAGCTTGTACAGCACGGACATTGGGTCGGCGCATTGAGACGACCATGGCGGCTTCCCAGTGAGTAGCTCTATCACCGTGCATCCGAGCGACCACACATCACACGCCGGGCCAATCTCTCCTCCTACCACGACTTCAGGAGCCATCCAGCACGGCGTCCCTCGGAGCTTTTCTTTCCGATTCATCTCATGATTGCTATCAGCTTCCCGACGATAAGTTGGTTCTCGTATTTGTAGAGAGAGGCCGAAGTCGACTAGGACCACGCATGAGTCACCCAGAACGACGTTGCAAGCTTTCAGGTCGCAGTGAACCACGCCTTCCTGGTGGATGTGGCACAAACCCTCGACGACACCCCTGACGTGACGAGCAACATCAGCTTCGCATAAGCCGATTCCGGAGTCCGTCGACGAAGCCAGCTCTGCGAGATTGCCTCCGGATGCCAGCGCTAAGAGGAGGTTTCTTGTGGGAACACCGTCCTCCATGGACCAATCAGCTCCAAAGCATTTGATGACATTGGGAGAATCAAGCCGCTGCAGAATCTCGTATTCATTCTCCAACGCGTGGAGCTCGTGAGAGTTTTCGTTGGTAACACGAACAGATTTGACTGCTATTAGCTGTCCGCTGGCGCTGTCGAATCCGATGTTCACTCGTCCGAACGAGCCTCTACCGAGCAACGGCCCTCGAGACCAGCTAGCTCTTCCACTACCGATGTCAGCGGTTTCCATCTTTGTGTCTGTCTCTGAGCTAAGAATGGACTTTAGGTAACCCATGAGGCGGTCAGTGAAACGGTGGAGTGGAGATTTGTGAGCTGTAGACCTGCCTCATTCGCGAAAGTTCAGAAAGGCTTGCAGTGGCTGGTGGAAACATCAATAGAATTCATTAGACTGAAAGTCAGTCGCTGAAGAGCTACTGATAATGCTCCTTGTCGGGACGCATCTTGCGGTCCATGGAGATGGAAGAAGCAGCTTGTGAACTGAGCTGAAAAGTACCCAGTGCTGGTGGTGGGTTGGGTGGGACAATGGTTGGGCTTTACAGCGGGGAGGCGAGGAAAGTGTGGGGGAGGATGGAATGAAAGCTGGGTGGTGGAGGTGCGTGTGTCACCTTTCAAGCAAATTCGGCGACCACGAGCCGCAGGTCACCGCGCCGCAGAGAGCTTCGTCGTGCCTGACCTGGACGATCATCTCAAGAAAACCACAATCAAGGCCCGTCCCGTCGGGTTCGTCGTGTGCCCTTGGTTCTGGTTCGGCAGTCTAGCCATTGACGGAAGGCACCAAGGCAACTTCGAGATGGGTGTACGTTCGGTCTAGTGGTGTTCCCGGAGTAGACCCGCCGCTTTGTTATCGAGCCACTATATGAAGCTCGGCGGAGGAAAAGGTGCGGTCTTCAAGATTTGCGGTTAGGCACGGTGCAGGTGTCGTTTCGCTGTTCTCAGGGTGTTGGCTTGACAAGCCTTCAAAAAGCTCAGGTTGACGGAACAACGCGGCCTGGTTTTGTCCGCTTTTGAGCTGTCCATCCAATGAAGGCTTTGAGTGCGACGACCGTGAGCAAAATCCGCTGTTTCCGAGGGATGTTCCCGGGTTTTCAAATTCTCACACCCGCGATTTTGAAGATGGTGGAATCTCGGCAAATCACGGACTTCGATGGAGAATGGTTACCTGTCGCTTCATGTGACGACCAGTGAGTTTCGCCAATAACCGATCACAAGCTACGAAGAAGTAATGACGATAACACGGTAATCGCGAGATAGGTACTTTCTTGCTCGTGCGTTCGACACGCTGCCGTCGCCACCAATAATAGCACAGGGTGGCCACTGACTCTACTTCGCTTGCTACACCATCAACTTCAGAACGGCTGCTTCGAGGGGGAAAGAGTGTTCCAGCTGTTCGGATGGGTGAGTAACGATGTTCCGTGGCAGCAGCCTTGCACAAGCTTTCTCACGATTTTATTGTGCCTACATAGTTTCCTTGTGGCAGCGGCCTTAGCGCAAGCATTCTCGCGATCTCGCTGCGTCGTGATTTGTGGCACTGATGAACCTGAGAATTTCCTATTCCGGCTAGTTCAATTTCTGTAATATAATATTTCGCTGTGTAAATGGGTAACCTATTCTCTACACAGCCTCCTGAGTCAGTATTAGACCGCGGAAACCGGCTAAGAGAAGAGGCGTGGGCCCACGCGCAGCGCGCAAGGGACCTAGCCGCGGAATCGCAAGCCGCTTACCAGCGGCGAGAAGGCGCTCGCGCAAAGGAGCTGAGCGAGGAACGGAAGCGGTGGAAAGAACTCGCTGACAAAACGCATCGGGAAGCGAGTAAGCTAATATTCGAAGGTAACAATGAGGGACGAGGCCATGACACGGTAGACGTGCACGGCCTGTTGGTCGAAGAGGCGCTGGAGCAGGTCGCACGACGCGTTGCCGCAGCGAGAGCAAGGGACGGAGAGAGAATAACGGTCATAACTGGGCGTGGCGTACATTCGAGAGGAGGAGCGGCCAAAATAAAGCCAAGGGTGATGGAGTGGGCGGAGAAGGAAAAGCTCGAATGTATGGAAGATCCGAGAAATGGAGGGTGCGTAATAATCGAGATAAATAGTTCCAAACCCCAGTTATGCTCTATTTTGTGAGATACGGTACGTACTTGGGGTAGATTGTGAAAGATTTCATATGAAATTCCATGTTTACACGCATGTTCTTGCACAATACCATGGCGCCAGCCAACACTAACACTAGCAATCCCCACTCCATGGTGACTGTACAAGTGACAAATGAATGAATAATTACCCTAAACGTTCTTCTAAGGAGACTTTGCCCCAAGCTACCCTGTACACGCTGTAAACCTCCAATACATTCTACACCAAGAAATTGCAGGAGCTCTAGAAGGAGATCCACTCATGCTCTGCACATGCAAACAAAGGTGGTCATTAGCGATAGTGCCACCAGAATGGTTAATACCTTCTCCTGTCAGCAAAATCATGTCCCCACCGGGAGGAGAACCCTTACCTAGAATTTCAAGTGCCGTGATTCGCTTGGCTGGGTCAGTCTGCAGCATGCGCCTGACGAGGTCCTTGGCAGCAGGTGAGATGGACAACCATGGCACACTGACCATGTCATAGTGGCCTGCCAACACGGCAGAGCAGATTGCCTCTTCCGAAACTGCAAACATAGGGAATGAGAGGGAGACACTTTCTTATGAGTAAAATAGCAGTGAAAACTGAGTGATATGACACACACAGGGAAATAAAGTCCATGACTCCATGAGGGCAGAAATCTTGATGGAAACTCACCATCCCAGAAGGGTGGCGATCCTGTGAGCATCATGTAAAGAATGACCCCCATGCTCCACACGTCACACTCGCTGCCGTACTGCTTCCTCAGCACCTCTGGCGCCACATAATACGCCGTCCCCGCAATTTCCGTCAGCCGCTGCCCGTCTGCTGACTTGTGCCACGTGGACAGACCAAAGTCTAGGAGCTTGAGGGGAGGGCAGGGCGCGGAGAAGGCGGGGGAGCAGGGCGCAGAGGAGGACGCCAGGGAACCCGTGCAGTCGCTGTCGGCCTCACTGCCACTCAAATCAGAGACCAAGCTGCTGGCGCTGCCTATGCTGGGGAAATGGCGGCTTGTGCTTGTGCTGCGGCTGCTGGTCGAGCCATGGTGTGTGCTGCCGTCAGGGTGCGACGCGCCCTCCCTGGCGTCCCGCGCATCCATGAAAGCGATGTTCTCGAGCTTCAGGTCGCGGTGCACCACGCCCTCCGCGTGCAGCCGCGCCACCGCCTCTGCGAGCTGCCGCATCACCTGCTTCGCCTGCGCCTCGCTCATCCGCTTCGACGATGCGCTCCCACTTGCGTTGCTACTGCTGTGGCTGGCGGTGCTTCCGCTGCTGCTGCGTGTGCTGGTTGTGGCAGCGGCAGGACTGGTGCTGCTCTCAGAGTGATCTACAGCGGAGGCATCATCCGCGATAGAGGCCGTCGTGAGGATATCGTACAGCGTCCCTCCAGTGCAGAGCTCCAGGACGAAATGCACGCACGTGGAGTCCTCGTATTGGTCGACAAGGGCCGCTACGGATTGGTGGGTTGATACGCACTTGAGAATGTCGAACTCCGTGCGGAGTCGTGCGAGCTGATCCTGCGACATGCGACGCTTGTCGACCGTCTTGCACGCGTATCGCTCGTGCGACTTCCTGTGCATCACCACGCGAACCACGCCGTACAATCCGCGGCCGATCTCGCGACCTGGAGGTTTGCAATTTGGGCGCCACACAAGACGACGACGACGAGGGAACAGGTTAGCGACGAGCTGATCGCAATGAATCACTACACAGAAGGTTCCAATGCATGGCGCTGACGCAAAGCGCTGAAACATGGTGTCGAGGCAGCAGCTTACCTATCAAATAATTGCTCTCGAGTCGTGTATTTGACGGTGACAGGCCTAACACTGATTGGCGATTCGAGGCATTCTGCTTCGCGTTTTTGCTAGCCTTCATTTGTGAGCGATCCGCCTTGCGATGCTGCTTGGTGGTGGCAGGGGAAGGCGTGATTGGACTGCGGCCACCCGTAGAAGCGCAGGCGCCCATATTCAGTCGAATTAGGTTACTCGTACAACAAATATCCCTGAACAATGGCGACCTAGGGACAATACCTCCGAAGATGCGCGATCGTCGTTTAAAGTGCAACGATCTAACTATGGAAGCGACGACCGAGAAATTTAATCTGGCTGGAGCTTGAAAATGTGATGGTCTGACAGTGAGAGTGCGAGTGCAATTGAGTGACGCTATGGCTGCTGTCTAGATCGCTTTTGAGCACCGCTGGCGTCGGACGCCAAACGGACACCACCGATCACTCTCGTCTCATCCATCCCGCCCTACCACGTGTCTGGTTGCAGAGCGCACGGTGAGTTGGGTCGAGAGGAAGCAGAGAAGAAACTGTCGTGCGGTGCGTTGATTGGCATGCTTGCGTCATTTGCGAAAGGGAGAATGGGGTTGCGCGGTATCCGCGAAAGGGCTCTCTGACCAGCGATGATTGGACGAAAAACACATTCTTTCGCTGATGACAGGGGGTTTGGGTTGGGGTGGGGAAAAGGGAGGTTGCGTATGGCAGAGAATCTGCTTCCGCACGCAGGATGCCTTGTGTTGTGACTCGTGTGCACCAATCACACGCCATGACGTGCAAGCCTCTCGTTTCCTCACAAAGTGGAGATGTGGGAGGGAGACGATGTCGTAGCCCTAGAGCAGGGGATTGGCGTCAGCAACTCTGTCGCTATTCGACGATACGGTGTTCCTCGAAAGCACATAACACTTCCGTAGCCTTCCTCGAAACGACGGGATTCCCTCGCCAGCGTCAGCACTTTTTGGATCGAGCACCCTGTCACATCACCATTCCCGCTGACACAACGGGCACCATACACTTCTTGCACAGACGTGACAAGACGTGAAGAAAACGCGGGTAGGCGGCTTTGGGACGGATACGGTAATGCTACATCTCTACACGCATCGTGACAAAGCAAGGCAATGATAACATCTCTTACAAATTCGAAAAAAAATATCTACATGCATTATTTCCACAATCGCATCAAACAAACCTCATTAAAGACTGTCAAAATATGACAATCTTAACTCCTATATGCAATCTCCCATGCCTGCCTCTGCTGCCTCCCTCTCTGCTTGCTCCAGTATCTGTTCTGCCCTCTTTCTTTTCTCATCCCTCTCATCGTCTTTCCCCTTTTCCCTCTTCTCCTTCCCCTTCCTCTCCTTGTCCTCCTCGCCTTTCCCAATGCCATCACTCCCACCTTGCCCGGCCTTTGGTTTTGCCTGCCTCAGCACAACAGGCAACTGCATTCTGGCAGCTCCAAGCTTGGCCTTGATCTTGCTGCCTAGGTGAAACGACACCCCCGGAGCACTCGCCCCTGAAGCCCTCTCCATTGCCGACCACCCACTCCAACCAACCTCCTTCACCCTCTCGCCCTTATTCCCCTCTGCCTGGATTCCCTCGGCCCCACTGCCACCACCACCATTCCTCTCCTCTCCGCCATCCACCACCACAATATCACCATCCACAGCCATCGCGTCCCCATTCCTTTCCTCTATTTCCTCTAACTCATCCTCCTCCTCGCTTTCCTCACCCCCCTCACCTGCTGCTCCCCCGCCCCGCGCCCTGCCCGCGGCCATCATCAGTCCCGGGAAGGCATCCAGCGCGGAAGGAACCTGACCCGCTACCCACCCGCCGTCTGACTCCCTCATCCGCTTCTTCCGCCCCTCGCCCCGCTCCGCGCCCTCGTCGTTGCGCACTGCGGGCGCCGCACCAGTGGCCACGGGCGCGGAGATCCCCGCGCCTGGCCTTGCGAGGAGGTCGTCCCCCGCGCCAACGTGAGACCATCCGCCCCACAGCAGCCGCCCGCCGCCAGCACCACCGCGCGCCTGCGCGCCGCCCGCCGTGACCATCCCCATGCGCTGGTGCAGCGACACGAGTGACTGCTCAGCGCGCCGCCGCTCTCGCCCCTCCTCCACCCGATCCTGCCGCTTATCCTGCCCCCGAGCCTCCCACACCGGCGTGGCGATGTACGTGTGGGGGTCCGGCAGCGCCGGCAGCCACTCGGGAATGTCGCCACGGGGAGGAGGATCCTCCCCGCTCTGAAGGAAACTGGCGGCGACGAAGCGCGGGTTTCTGGGCACGGGGAAGGACGGGACGGCTTGCGCCAACGATGGCGACGAGATGTCGTCCGCGAATTCGACGAAGCGAGCGAGATCGCCGAGCGACGTGCCGACGTCGGATAACGCAAGGGCGACGTCGTTGGCGTTAGCGTCGGTTCGCCCTGCGAGCTCCGCGTGCGCGTGTGCTGCGTCGCCAACGCTGGTGATGAAGCGAGTCAGGATGTCGGACAGGGTCTCGAGCGCTGACCGTTGGATGGACTGGAAGCCGAAAGACTCGCAAATCTGAGCGCAGACGAGCTGCGACACGGAGCGAGTGAATGGCTCCGCCATGGCTGGCTTGTTCGCCCTAAGGTTCCTTGTTCGCAGCGCGAAAAGTTAGGGTTCCCACAATGCCTGGTGTTATGTCGGCTGGTGGTAGTGTTGTTCTGCGCTGGGGTCTGGCTGGGGCTGACGGCTTTGGTTGGATGCGGCAGAGCACGTCAGCTGGTTCTCAGCGCCTTGCGAACTGTTACCATTTCGCGAAATATCGCAAGCACGTGCTTGGAATTCAAGCCCACCTCTGCTCATGCCCATCATCCAGCATTTCGTCCCCGCGACCGTCGCGAAAATTACCAGGTGAGAACGGGCTTCACCTAGTCGCAGCAGGCAAGCAAGAGTGGTTTGCTTTGCTAGTCCCTTGAAGTGTGTTCGTTTGAAATTCAAGTTTCCAAATCAAACCACCATGGTCATGGGTGTTTGGTGTCCCTCCGCTCCGCACTTGCTGCTTGCTTCCCTCGCTGCTCCCGAGCAGCAGCATCTGCGGTGAGGCGAAGGTCTGTGTCTCGAGCGTAAGGGTGGTAGGTCCGAGGCAATGGACCCTACTAATTTTAGCGACATAAAAGAGGATCATAATTGGTCTTCGGATGCCATTCCGCCCGTGAATGACTTGACACATGCGAGCTATCACCATAGCACGACTACTCATCCTCCTCTCACCTCTAGTTCCGATTCGCCTTCACTCGTCTCCTCATCCGCCATTCGTCCCTCCCTTCCCGCCGCAATGTCGCACCCACAGACCGTTCAGTTCAACCAGCAAGCACCGCCGCTATCGGCGGGATACCTTAACAGTAACCCGTATTCTTCTTCTCAGATGGCTCACTTCATAACGTCTAACTCACTAGCTTACACTAACGAAGCCTCGTACGCGTCACTCCAGCATAGCTCGCAACCGGCGCCTGACGCGCGTTTTTCTCATCCCAACGTGGGTTCGTCGCGCCCCACGTCCGCCCCACTCTCGTCCTCGTCTTTGCCGTTTCAAAACCAATCGTTCTTTCCGCCGCGGCCGCCGTTTCCTCAGAACTCGCAATATCCGCTGTCGGCCGCGCAGCCAGCGGGCACGCCGCCTATGCACCCCTCCTCGTTGCCTCTGCACGCTCCAGCTGCTAACGCCGTGAATTCTGGCCCTCGAAACACCGCCGCTCTTGCCCGTAATGGAAACCACATGCCGTCTGCTCACGGCGGGCAATTCGGTGCTCCTGACGGGCAGGCTGCTTTTAACGGTCAAGTGGGTCTTTCGGCGCCGAACACTGCGTTCAACCGTCAGGTCGTCGGAGTGTCAGGTCCATCGGCAATCCATCCGATTCGGCCGCGGCAGAGCCAGGCGAACGTGAACCAATCAGGCGCAACCGCTCCCTTCTCACAAGCCTCCGCCGCCGCCTGCTTGCCCGCTCCGTCCATTCCTTCAACTCCTTCCGCTCATTCCGCCCGTTCCGCGCCTTCGCCTCCTTCCGCGCCTTCCGCGGGTTCTCAATTCCACCTTGCTTCCTCGACGGCTAACGCGGTGGGCGGTCCCTCCGCCGTTGCCGCCGCGCCCGCCGTCCACTCCCGCCCTGCAGCCGCGTCACCCGCCGCTCCACCGCAGAGGTTGAACGGCGTGGGGTCTCGCATGATTGGGGTACCGTCACCTCCTGCTTCCGCGTCGGCTGCTGCGTATGCTCCAAATCCTGTGCCTGTTTCCGCGCTTTCGTCTTTTGATCCGGAATCGCAGACGCGCGTGCTTAGTCTGCTTATGCAGGAGGCAGAGAGGAACAATGCGGGTGTTTTCTCACACGGTTCGCCAAGTGGCAGCATGCCTGCTACAGCTGCTGCAGCTGCTACAGCTGCCACAGCTGCTTCGTGCAGTGCTCTCCTCGCCGCCATGCCGTCAGGTCCAGCTACTGCCTCACTCTCCTCTCCCCTTGCCGCCCGCGCTGCTCCCCCTGCTTCCGCCCTCCGCCCGCCTTCCGTCCGCGCGCCTGGCTCCTTCTCCCAACCACCTGCCTGGGCGCCTTCCGCCAACCCGACTGCCGAGGTAGCAGTCATACCCGCGGCGAGTGCAGCGGGCGCACCGGGCCCGCGCATAACCCTGTGCGACGCTGACGCGACACTCTTCCGCGACTCTCGCCTCCCCAATCTTTCCGCCGCTTCCTCTGCGCCTGCCGTCACCTCATCTCTCACCTCTTCCCCTCCCGCACCCACTTACCCACCTGCACCCACTCCCCCCGCACCCACTCTCCCCGCATCCGCTCCTTCCCCAAGCCCCGCTTCTAGCGCAGCCTTCGCATCGGTTCCAGCTCACTCGCCTCCCCCCGTTCCCACCCCCTCCGCCCCTACCCTCTCCGCTCCTACCCCCAGCGCTCCTACTCCCCTTGCTCCTACTCTCGCCGCTCCTACCTCCCCGGCCCCTAATCCTTTCGCCCCCGCTCCTACTCTTGCTGCTCCTAATCCCCCTGCTCCCATTCGCACCGTTCCTAGTGCCCCCGCTCCTACTCCCACTGCTCCTACCTCCCCTGCTCCTACCTCCCCTGCTCCTACCTCCCCTGCTCCTAACCCCGCCCTTACTACCCCCCCCGCTTCTACCTTCCCCACCACCGAGTCTTCCCCAGTAATCCCTCCTTCTGCCACACCTCCCCTTCCCCCCGCTCCTCCCGCCCCGCCTGTCCCACGCGGCACCGCGCGCGCTGCCAACGCCTCCGCCAACGCGCGCTCCTCTGGGGCAAACCCGCGCCCTCCCGCGTCCACCCGCCGCCCTCCCGTCGCTGGCGGGCGCAAGCGCGCACAGCCGCCATCCAACGACGCGGCAGGGTCGTTAGCCAATCAGAGAGCAGCAAGTCTACCGTCGCGTGGCGCTATGATGGCGCTGGCGGCGGCAGCAGGAGGGGATGCTGAAGCGGACATGAGGGAAGTGTACTTCCTCATTCTGCACTTTTTGACGGGCAGCCCTTGCCGTCGGGCAGCAGAAGTTTTGAAAGAGGAGCTGGAGGAGTTGAATCTGCTTCCGCAGCGGTACCATGCGGTGTACTCCCATGGGGGAAGGCGGACAGGCGCAAACAGCGCAAGCGAAAGGCGGCCGGGTGGTAGAGGCAACGAGCGTGGCAGCGAGGGGAGTGCACATGGGGAGGCAGGGGCGGTGGGCGCACAAGTGAAGGGTGGGGAGGGTGGGAGGAGGGGAGGGGGTGCGGAGAGGGAGTCGGAGATGACTGTACCCATGAACTACGAGGAGCTCAGGGAGAGGTGCGCGCCTGTAATGCTTGGGCACCTTGCATTGGGTGACCACACAATCAGCAAGTCTTTGTTTTATTGTGTTCATGGGCAACCATATGCCTCCGCTCGTTCATTTCACCCTGCCCCGTGCCTCCCACCTACTGTCTGTGTGTGCATGCCCCGCTGTGCTGCTCCCTCCAGGTATTCGCACATTGCCCCCAACCACCTCTTCCTGCTGCTGCAGGAGCTGCTGCAGTCGTCCCATCTCGCCGTCTCCTCCGCCTCCCTCCTCCCCTCCGCGCCTCTCTCCTCCGCCTCCCTCCTCCCCTCCGCGCCTCTCTCCTCCGCCTCCCTCCTCCCCTCCGCGCCTCTCTCCTCCGCCCCGCCCCACCCGCCACCATCAGCAGCACCAGCCCTCCCTCCTGCCCCGCTTGCTGCAGCAGCTGTTGCACCCACCGTCTCTGCTCCTCCCTCTGCCCCCCCACTTCAAATCACCGCCGCCCCCCTTTCCGCCTCCGCCTCCGCCACTGCACTAGAGGAGGCTTTGCCAGGTGCCGCAGCCCCAGCCGCCGCTGCAGCTGTGGATGTGAGCGCCGGCCGTGGCTTGGAGGCAGGGCGGCAGGTAGGTGGCACAGAGGCAGCAGAAGAGAGATCAGTAGGTGCGGCTGTGGCACAGATGCTGGGAAGCGGGACAGAGGCTGCTGCAGCAGCAGCAGGGGCCATTGCAGCAGGCGTGGAGGCAGCAGCAGGTGGCGAAGCAGCAGGGGCAGCATCAGCAGTGGTGGCAGCAGCAGATGCGGCAGGCAGCACAGCACTCGTGGTGGGAGCAGCGGCAGGGGCAGAGAGGGGCGAGTGGGGCGAGAAGGGTGCAGGCGGGGAGGGTGTGTTGGTGAGCGGGGGGGCGGGCGTGGCAGGAGCACGGGACAGGTGGTGGGTGTGTGCGGGAGACGTGCCAACGCTGCTGGGCCATGGCGGGATAAGCCTGAGACGAGGTAGGCGCGGATTGAGGCTTGGGGCAATCGGCACATGTGCATGCCATTGCCTCACATGAGCCACGCATGCCTTCTCTCCCTCCCTCCCTCCCTCCCTCCCTCCCTCCCTCCCTCCCTCCCTCCCTCCCTCCCTCCCTCCCTCCCTCACATCCTCACTGCTGCACTTCCTCTCTGGCTTTCCCCACGCCCCGCCCCACCCTGCTCCCTTCATCGCTTCCACTTCCACCCCTGCTTGCTTTATCGCCCTTCCCGCCCCTATCCGCCTCCCAACAACAGCGGAGTGGCTGCCAGCGCTCCTCTCTCCTCCGCGCACCTTTCTGCCCCACACGGCCCATCCGCACCTCTCAGCACCGCTCCTGCGCTCCCTCACGCTCAGAGAAACGGGCGGAGGGGTCTGCTCGCGGGCTGCCAGGTCTGCCAATGCACGGTACGTTCCATGCACGGTACCCTCCACGTGGGCCTTGCCACTGCACCTCTCACCCCACCGCGACAACCGTTTGCCCCGCTCTGTCCGCCCGTTGTGTCATCTTACCACCCGCTCGCCCATCCCTCCATCATTCCCCTATTCCCTCCGTCTCCCCCGCCCCTATGGTGAGAGCAGGGTGGCGTCGCTGGCAGTGGCGTCCCCCGCGCTGCTGCTGAGCCGCATGGAGCAGGTCAAGGTGCTGCGCGGCCACCGCAACGCCGTCTACTGCGGTAACTGCCCTCTCCCCCCCCTCTCTCGCCCTAACTGTGCTCACTGCCCCCCTGGCCTGCTTGCTCTCACTGCCCTGCTTGCACACTCGCACCTCACGCTGCTGGCACTCGTTGCTCCCGACCTAACTGCACGCACACACACCACCCATTCCTCTCAACACCCGCCTCCTTCTTTCCACTTCCCCGCGCTGGCTGTGTATCCGTCTTTTGAGACGTCTATCCGTCAAAAGTGGCTGTGTATCCGTCTTTTGAGACGTCTATCCGTCAAAAGTGGCTGTGTATCCGTCTTTTGAGACGTCTATCCGTCAAAAGTGGCTGTGTATCCGTCTTTTGAGACGTCTATCCGTCAAAAGTGGCTGTGTATCCGTCTTTTGAGACGTCTATCCGTCAAAAGTGGCTGTGTATCCGTCTTTTGAGACGTCAATCCGTCAAAAGTGGCTGTGTATCCGTCTTTTGAGACGTCTATCCGTCAAAAGTGGCTGTGTATCCGTCTTTTGAGACGTCTATCCGTCAAAAGTGGCTGTGTATCCGTCTTTTGAGACGTCTATCCGTCAAAAGTGGCTGTGTATCCGTCTTTTGAGACGTCTATCCGTCAAAAGTGGCTGTGTATCCGTCTTTTGAGACGTCTATCCGTCAAAAGTGGCTGTGTATCCGTCTCCGTTCCTCGAGCAGCGGTGTACGACCACGGGGGGCGGTACCTGATAACTGGGTCGGACGACCGGCTGGTGAAGATCTGGAGCATGCACCATGGCATCTGCCTCGCCACCTGCCGCGCCCACACCGTAAGTCCCCGCCCCCCCTTGTGTGCCACACCGTAAGTCCCCGCCCCCCCTTGTGTGCCACACCGTAAGTCCCCGCCCCCCCTTGTGTGCCACACCGTAAGTCCCCGCCCCCCCTTGTGTGCCACACCGTAAGTCCCCGCCCCCCCTTGTGTGCCACACCGTAAGTCCCCGCCCCCCCTTTTGTGCCACACGGCAAGTCCCCCCCTCCATGTGCGCATAACGTTTCCCCTCGCCCTCTGCATGTGTGCACCTCGCCCTCTGCATGTGTGCACCTCGCCCTCTGCATGTGTGCACCTCGCCCTCTGCATGTGTGCACTTGTCATCTTTGCCTGGATCGACGTGGCCTGCGTCTGCACCTCTGTGCTTGTGTGCGTGTGTGTACGTACATACAGGGCGACATCACGGATCTAGCAGTCAGTCGGGGCGACAAGTGGGTGGCATCAGCCTCCAACGACTGCCTCATCCGCGTGGTCAGTGCCGCCCGCCCTCCCCCCCGCACTACTCTCCCTGTCCCTGCCCTATCGCCATTCCTTGTCCTGGTTGCTACCACCTCCCACACATCCACTGTTGTTCCGTCCCAAACCGCCTTCCCCCTCACCTCATCCTCCCTCGCACACTCGCTGCTGTCTTTCCCATCCCTCCTCTCCTCGCCTCATCGACCTCCCACCCACTTTCCTTGTCCCACCCCCCCCCGTGCGTGTGGCAGTGGGAGCTACCGAGTGGGCATCTGGAGGTGACGCTAGTGGGCCATGCAGACGCCGTCACCGCTGTCGCATTCAGCCCCACCACTCACCACCACCTCCTCTCGTACGCCACCCCTCTCAACGTCCTGCCAGCCACAATTCCTGCCCCTCTCCTATGCACCCGTCCACACCTCCATCTCCCATCCGTCCATACCTTGTTTCTCTCAGCATCACATGTGCTCTTGTGTGATCTCCCTCTCTCGCTCCTACCCCCCCCGCCCTGTCCTCTCCACCACCCCCCCTTCCTCTCACCTCCTCTTGTGTGTTCAACCTTCACACTCTCACCTCCTCTTGTGTGTTGTTCGACCCTCACACTCTCACCTCCTCTTGTGTGTTGTTCGACCCTCACACTCTCACCTCACCTCCTCTTGTGTGTTCGACCTTCACACTCTCACCTCCTCTTGTGTGTTGTTCGACCTTCACACTCTCACCTCCTCTTGTGTGTTGTTCGACCTTCACACTCTCACCTCCTCTTGTGTGTTGTTCGACCTTCACACTCTCACTAACCGCCGCACATCCTCCCCATCAATGCCCACGGCGCCCATCAGGGCATCGGAGGATGGCTCATGCCGCCTGTGGGACGTCACAGCAGCAGCGGACAGCACCTGCCTGCGCCTCTTCCTGCCCGCCTCCCACGGTACTTCCACCTCTCTGCTCCCCACCTCTGCTCCCCACCTCTGCTCCCACCTCTGCTCCCACCTCTGCTCCTTCACTCTACTCCTGCTCTCTGCTGGCACCCTCTGCTCTCACTGCTTGACGTTTCCATCTCGCAAGTCCACGGCCGGTCCCCACTGCCTCATGCCACTTGTTCCATCTCATGCCACCTTGTTCCATCTCATGCCACCTTGTTCCATCTCATGCCACCTTGTTCCATCTCATGCCACCTTGTTCCATCTCATGCCACCTTGTTCCATCTCATGCCACCTTGTTCCATCTCATGCCACCTTGTTCCATCTCATGCCACCTTGTTCCATCTCATGCCACCTTGTTCCATCTCATGCCCTCTTGCTCCTCTGCACTCGCTTCCATAACTCAACCCTCTTTTTCCTCCCCTACCCCGAATTCCCGTTCCCCGAATCCCCGTCTCCTCCCCTACCCCCTCCTCTCCCTCCCCTCGCCTCCCCTCCCCTTTCCTCCCACCAGGATTTCGCCATCTTCTCCCGCCCTCTGCTCCCACCCTCTGCTCCTAAACCCTGAACTCCTGCTCCCCCCTGCTCTTACTGCTGTGTGTTTCCCTCTCACAAGTCTACGGCCAGTCCCACCCCACTGCCTCATGCCACCCCACTGCCTCATGCCACCCCACTGCCTCATGCCACCCCACTGCCTCATGCCACCCCACTGCCTCATGCCACCCCACTGCCTCATGCCACCCCACTGCCTCATGCCACCCCACTGCCTCATGCCACCCCACTGCCTCATGCCACCCCACTGCCTCATGCCACCCCACTGCCTCATGCCACCCCACTGCCTCATGCCACCCCACTGCCTCATGCCACCCCACTGCCTCATGCCACCCCACTGCCTCATGCCACCCCACTGCCTCATGCCACCCCACTGCCTCATGCCACCCCACTGCCTCATGCCACCCCACTGCCTCATGCCACCCCACTGCCTCATGCCACCCCACTGCCTCATGCCACCCCACTGCCTCATGCCACCCCACTGCCTCATGCCACCCCACTGCCTCATGCCACCCCACTGCCTCATGCCACCCCACTGCCTCATGCCACCCCACTGCCTCATGCCACCCCACTGCCTCATGCCACCCCATTTCATCTCACATCCACTTGCTCCTCTGCACTCGCTTCCATAACTCAACCGTCTCTTCCCTCCTCTCCCTTCCCCTCCCTTCTCCTCCCCTCCCCTCTGCTCCCGTCCCTTCCCCTCCCCTCCCCTCCCTTCTCCTCCCCTCCCTCCCCTCCCTCCCCTCCCTCCCCTCTCTCCCCTCCCTCCCCTCCCCTCCCCTGGCCCATGGCCCAACAGCAACCAAGAGCCCGTTCCCGCCAGGGACATTTCTGAGCCGCATGCAGCAGGGGGGCAGCGAGCTGACTCCTGAGGAGCGGGCCAAGATGTTGCCCCCCAAAGTGCTGTGCGCTGCCTTCAACGCCGATGGCTCTCTCTTTGTCACGGGCAGCGAGGATGGGCGCACAAGGGTGAGTGTGATGGGCGCACGAGGGTGAGTGTGATGGGCGCACGAGGGTGAGTGTGATGGGCGCACAAGGGTGAGTGTGATGGGCGCACGAGGGCGAGTGTGATGGGCGCACGAGGGTGAGTGTGATGGGCGCACGAGGGTGAGTGTGATGGGCGCACAAGGGTGAGTGTGATGGGCGCACAAGGGTGAGTGTGATGGGCGCACGAGGGTGAGTGTGATGGGCGCACGAGGGTGAGTGTGATGGGCGCACGAGGGTGAGTGAGGATGGGCGCATGAGGGTGAGTGTGATGGGCGCACAAGGGTGAGTGTGATGGGCGCACGAGGGTGAGTGTGATGGGCGCACGAGGGTGAGTGTGATGGTCGCACGAGGGTGAGTGAGGATGGGCGCACGAGGGTGAGTGTGATGGGCGCACGAGGGTGAGTGAGGATGGGCGCACGAGGGTGGGTGAGGATGGGCGCACGAGGGTGAGTGAGGATGGGCGCACGAGGGTGAGTGATGATGGGCGCACGAGGGTGAGCATGGGATGCTGATTCGCCCGGTTGTTGCCGTTTCATGTCATCATATTCACTGCCATGCGGTGTCACAAAATCACATGTTTTGTTGTGGTGCCCTGCATGTGCATGTGCATGTGCATGTGCGTGTATGCCTTGTGCTCAGGTGTGGGATGCGCGCCTCCCTGCCCTCGCACCCAAGGAGCCCTCCCAGCAGCAGCAGCAACAACAACAGCAGGAGCAACCACAACAGGTGCAACAGCAACAAGAACAGCAGCCACAGCAGCAGGAGCAGCAGCAGCAGCAGGGGCTGTGGGCGGCGGGGGTGGGTGCGGGGGGCCGGGAGAGAGTGGGGGTGCAGCACGAGGTGCAGGAGCTGCTAGGGCACCAGGGGTCAGTCAACTTCGTGCAGTTCAGGTGCTGCCCCCACTCCCCGCTCCTGCTCTCACCTCCTCGCCCCTCCTGCTGCCTGCTGCCTGCCTGCCGGCCCCTCTAAATCTGATTGCCACAACTCTCTCTTTCATTCTTCACCACACAATCCTCCATTGCCCCCCTCTCTGCTCGTGCTCCACTCCCCATGCACCCTGCCTCCCGTCCCCTCCCCCCTCTTCCCCCCCTTGCGCTGCAGTGGGTGTGCGGGGGTGCAGCAGGAGGTGACGTCTGGTGGGGACGAGGAGGGGAGGGGTGTGGGGGAGAAGGGGAAGGGAAGTGAGGAGGGGGGAAAGCGAAAGGAGAAGGACAAGGACAGGCGACTGACATCCCTCAAGTGAGCCCCGCATGCCCTGTTAGTTGCACCATGCCCTCTCACTACCGCTCCCCATCTGCGCTTTGCCCTCTCTCTACCACTCCCCATCTCGCCTGCCACTCTCACACATCTCTCACACCCCTCTCCACCTGCTTCCCATCTCCCCAAACCCATTTGTCCTCTCTCTTTCACCATCATCTTCCCCTCCCTCCCCGTTCCTCCCCGTCTCTCCACCCCCCCACCCCATGGCATGGCAGCACGGCCAACTGGGGGGGAGTGGAGGCGATAGTCTCGTGTGCGCGGGACGGTTCGGCCTTCATCTGGCGCCCGCGGGCGCGCCGCGTGCATGTGAGTGGCTGCCATTAGGCGACGACGGATCCATGTGCTCCATGAGAGGCACTTGCCGTCCCCGTCCCCTGCGTGCATGCTTGCTTGCTAGCCTGCCCTTCACCCCATCAGCCGTGTCCCTTCCATTCCGCGTTCCTTTATCTCCTCCCGATAACCTCTCATTACCCCTCTTTCGTTCACTTCCCCCTTACTTCCCCCCCCTGTGTCCCCATCCCCCAGGGCAAGCACCAGCACTGGAACAAGGCGCAGCAGCTCACGGCCCCCCCGCGCCCCTTGCCTGTGCCCGCGGGGGCTGCAGCAGGGCAGGGCGCAGGGGGCAGCGGGAGGGCAGGGGCGAGGGCGAGGGCGAGGGATGCGGCAGGGGCGGCGGCGAATATGATCATCTGGTCGCTCGACTGCCAGTTGGTGCTGGCTGCCATCACAGGTGCGCAACCATCCCAGGTGCGCAACCATCACAGGTGCGCAACCATCCCAGGTGCGCAACCATCCCAGGTGCGCAACCATCACAGGTGCGCAACCATCCCAGGTGCGCAACCATCCCAGGTGCGCAACCATCCCAGGTGCGCAACCATCCCAGGTGCGCAACCATCACAGGTGCGCAACCATCCCAGGTGCGCAACCATCCCAGGTGCGCAACCATCCCAGGTGCGCAACCATCCCAGGTGCGCAACCATCCCAGGTGCGCAACCATCCCAGGTGCGCAACCATCACAGGTGCGCAACCATCACAGGTGCGCAACCATCCCAGGTGCGCAACCATCACAGGTGCGCAACCATCACAGGTGCGCAACCATCACAGGTGCGCAACCATCACAGGTGCGCAACCATCCCAGGTGCGCAACCATCACAGGTGCGCAACCATCCCAGGTGCGCAACCATCCCAGGTGCGCAACCATCCCAGGTGCGCAACCATCCCAGGTGCGCCTTGAGGTGCTAGGATGTCATTCTTGGCAGCATGAGAAGGGGCAGCAGGAGCAGCGGGGGCGGCGGCGAACATGATCATCTGGTCGCTCGACTGCCAGTTGGTGCTCGCTGTCCTCACAGGTGCGCCATTAGGAGCTGGCATGTCGTTGTTGTCAGCATGAATAGCTACAGCAGAGATTCGTGTGTGTGTAGCAGTGGGCGCTGCTGCCTCGCCTGTTGTATCTTTCCGCAATTACTCCACCCAGCCTCTCTTCTCTTAACCCCAGAGTCTCACCCTCTTCCTCTGCTCATATCTCTGCCTGTGTGTCTGTGCGTCTGTGCCGCTCTCATCCCCCCGCATGCATGGCAGATGCGCGCATCTGTGTGTGGCAGGCAAGCACAGGCGAGCTCATACACTGCCTCACCGCACACCAGGAGCAGGTGAGGGGCCACACGCACACAGGCACGAGCAGGTGAGGGGATGAGACGCGCACGCTAAGGTCCGGGTGGGTGGTTGCACTGAACAGGCTCCGACACTCCCACTCTCTACCTCCATTTCTGCCATCCTCGCATGCACTCCACAGCTCCTGCCGTCCTCTTTCCCCATGCCCACTGCCCCCCCACACGTCCATCCCGTACACCCGCCCATCGAGTTTGAGGCGTCTCGAATCATTTCCCATCACCCTCCTACACGCCTACCTCCCCCCTCCCCCATCAGGCGTTTGTGTTGGACGTGCATCCCACGGACCCACGCATTGCCATGAGCGCGGGGTACGATGGCCGGGTTATCGTGTGGGACATCTGGAAGGGACAGCCAATCGCCATCCGCCACGTCACCAACTTCCAGCTCGTCGACGGGCACTTCTCTCCGTAAGCCCGTTCGCCCGCCTTCCCCCGTTGCTGCCTCCCCTCGTGTGCGCCCCCTGCTTCCCCGCTTCTCATTCTCGTTGCTGCTGCTCACCAGCACCCTGTCCGCCTCATCCAGCCTCCATTATCTTGTGCGCGCTTCCTTTCACCCCTCTTCAACTCATTCGTTGCACTTCCCTCCCAGGCGCCCATATTTATTGATCCCTCTTTTTTCCCATGCTCATGCGTGTCCGTTTTTCCCGCATGCCCATGCGCGTCCCTTCCACCCGCATGCCCATGCACAACCCTTTTCCCCCGCGCCCATGTGCATACACGGATCACAGGGACGGCACGGGGCTGGTGGTGGCGGACGAGGTGGGGCAGGTGTATGTGTTTGCCACGGGGGGCAAGGACCAATGGGCGCTCATCCACATGGACCAGGTGGGCGCATCCACGTGGGCGCATCCACATGGACCAGGTGGGCGCATCCACGTGGACCAGGTGGGCGCATCCACGTGGACCAGGTGGGCGCATCCACGTGGACCAGGTGGGCGCATCCACGTGGACCAGGTGGGCGCATCCACGTGGACCAGGTGGGCGCATCCACGTGGACCAGGTGGGCGCATCCACATGGACCAGGTGGGCGCATCCACGTGGACCAGGTGGGCGCATCCACGTGGACCAGGTGGGCGCATCCACATGGACCAGGTGGGCGCATCCACGTGGACCAGGTGGGCGCATCCACGTGGACCAGGTGGGCGCATCCACGTGGACCAGGTGGGCGCATCCACGTGGACCAGGTGGGCGCATCCACGTGGACCAGGTGGGCGCATCCACGTGGACCAGGTGGGCGCATCCACGTGGACCAGGTGGGCGCATCCACGTGGACCAGGTGGGCGCATCCACGTGGACCAGGTGGGCGCATCCACGTGGACCAGGTGGGCGCATCCACGTGGACCAGGTGGGCGCATCCACGTGGACCAGGTGGGCGCATCCACGTGGACCAGGTGGGCGCATCCACGTGGACCAGGTGGGCGCATCCACGTGGACCAGGTGGGCGCATCCACGTGGACCAGGTGGGCGCATCCACGTGGACCAGGTGGGCGCATCCACGTGGACCAGGTGGGCGCATCCACGTGGACCAGGTGGGCGCATCCACGTGGACCAGGTGGGCGCATCCACGTGGACCAGGTGGGCGCATCCACGTGGACCAGGTGGGCGCATCCACGTGGACCAGGTACCACATCCCCCATGCCATGCCCATGATGCCTCTATGTCATGCCCCATGCCATTCACCATGCCCCTGTGCGTCAACTGCTTCAGTGTGGTATCTTTAACCGCCTCGCGTGCTCCCTTGCGCCCCATATGTGCCCCTCATGTGCCCCTCTTCTTGCAAACCCCCATCCACACCATCACATCAGTTCTTCCTGGGAGACTACCGCCGCTTCGCCCTCGACTCCTTCCACAACGCCCTCGATGAGGTGCCCTCCCATGCCCCCCTGCACCACTGCACTCCCGCCCTTGCCTGCTCTTCCTTGCACTCCTGCTCTTGCTTGCTGCTGCTCTTCGTAAATTGCGTCTCCTCTTCGCCTGCACCCCCATCGCCAGCCCACCTACTCTCCACCCAATGCCCCCCCCATGCCTCCTCCTCTCCCCTGCAGGAGACGAACGTGCTAACGGAGGAGCGCACGTGGATGGATCCGATATGCGATGCGGGCATGCAGCCGTACCCCGACCCGTACCAGGCGCGCTTCCACGCGCTGCGCTTTGCCCTGCTCGCGCGCCCCTACCACCCGCCCTCCGTCCCGCTCCGGGTGGGGCGCATAGAGGCCGACGACCTGGCCTTCCAGCCCGTCCCCAACGAGGCCCTCGGCGCCCCCGGCTCCGCCCCCCTGCCCCTCCTGCCCCTACCTGCTGCTGCTGGCGGTGGCGGGCGCGGGGGAGGTGGGCGGAGGGAGGGCGTGAGGAGGGAGGATGGAAGGGGGAGGAGGGAAGAGGATGGGGAGGTTCAGGTGGTGAGTGGGGGCGAGGAGGGGGAGGAGGGGAGGGTGGGAGGGGGAGAAGGGGGTGGTGCAAACGGGGGCGATGGAGGGAGGTGGAGAGGGGAGGTGAGGCGGCGGGAAAGTCAGCGTTGGGAGCTGAGGGAGAGGCTGCCTGTGAGGCGGTATGAGGGATTTGAAGTGACCATGGGGGGGGAAGAGGAAAGGGGCGAGGAGGAGAGAGGGGAGGAGGACTCAGAGTATGAAGTGAGTGGAGGAGAGGAGAGGCGCGGAGGGAGTGAGGAGGAGCAGGAAGCGGAGACGGAGGAGGACGAGGGTGGGCAGGGTGAGGGAGAGGGAGAGGGAGAGGGGGAGGATGGGCAGGGGACGAGGCGGTCGCGGAGGCTTCTTGGGAAGAGGCGGCGGCGATGGGGGAGAGGAGGGGAGGGCGAGGGGGACGAGGAGGAGGGGGTTGAGGTGGTGGGGGAGCAGCGGGGGCGGCGAGAGAGGCGGATGATTACAAGGAGTGGGCGCGACAAGGGGAGCGGACGGGGGAAGGGGAAGCGGGACGTACAGGGGCGGGGGATGAGGAATGGGAGGGGGGTGAGGGGCAGGGCACGCAAGGTGGCGAGGGGAGGTGGAGGGGGGGGGGGCAGAGGGAGAGGGCGGGTGAAGCGTGCAGGGAAGGAGGTGGAAGGGGAAGAAGAGGAGTGGGATGTAGAACCTTGGGCGCATGAGCGTGGTGGCCGGACGAACAGATTTGCTGCGGGCGAGGACGAGGATGACGATGAAGAGGAGGAGGCGGAGGGAGAAGGGGAAGAAGGGGAAGATGAGTGGGAAGAGGATGAGGAAGAGGAGGACGATGAGGAGGAAGAGGGGGAAGAAGAGGAGGAAGGTGAGGAGGAAGGGGATGAGGAGGAGGAGTATGAGGATGAGGAGGACGTGGAGCAGTACAAGCGAGTGGGGCACGCCTCTAGAAGCCTGGCCACCGCGCCTTATGCCCACCAGTGGCCGCATGGCTCGCAGGCAGGGGGAGGGCATGGTGGGGGGGAAGGCAGTGGGCATGGGAGGGGGCAGCAGGGCGCGTTGGCAGTGAGGGGCGGGCAGAGCGCCATTACTCCTGTGGGGGGGAACGGGCTCAAACTCAAAATTAACCTCAGAAAACCCTCTGCTGCTGCTGCTGCCACTGCTGCTGCTGCTGATGCTGCTGCTGGTGCCGATGCTGGTGCTGGTGCTGGTGGTGCTGGCGCGTCTGCAGCGTGTGGGGGTGGGGGCGGCAGCGGGGGTGGCAGTGCGGGCAGCTCCTGTGCAGCGCCGCGCGGAGTGACCAAGTTGCAGATTAAGCAGGTGTGCATGGGTACAAGTCAGGGTGCAGAAGGCAAGGGTAATGGTGCGGGCAGGGTGCATGGGGCTTAGGGCAAAGGGGGAGGGGGGCGTGAGGCATGGGATGGGATGGTTTTGTGGAGTGGGACAGGGCGAGAATGTATGTTCATGCATTGGTGTGGAAAACCTACTCACTTCATGTAAAACATTTCTGGTGTGTGCTTGTGTTGCTGTGTGTGTGGCACAGCGCATGGAGGCCCAACGCACCCAGGCCGCACAGGCCCTGCAGCAGCACTCTCTTCCCCAGGCACAAGAGGGAGGGAAGGCGAAGGAGGAAAATGAGGAGCAGGAGGAGTTGGAGGAGGATGATGAGGGGGATGAGGAGGTGGAGGAGGTGGAGGAGGAGGAGGAAGTGATGGAGGAGATTGGATCAGAGGAGGAGGGAGAGGAAGAGGTGGTAGCTGAGGTGGGTGAGGAGAGCACGCCAGGGAGGAGGACGAGGAGCAACAGTCGGCATGCTGTGAGCCAAGCTGCTCAGTTGAGACCCGCTCAGATACGACCCGCCCAGCTTAGACCCGCCCACTCGAGGCCCGCACAGATCAGACCTGCCCAAATAAGACCTGCCCAACTGAGACCTGCTGGGATGGGCGTGGGTGCAGCACGAGGTGATGCTGCCTTTGATCGCTCTGCTCCGGCAGGTGGTGCGGAGGAGATTTGGGAGGATGAGGAGGAGGAAGAGGAAGAGGAAGAGGAAGAGGAAGAGGAAGAAGAAGAGGAGGAAGAAGAGGAGGAAGATGAGGAGGAGGAGGAAGATGAAGAAGAGGAGGAAGATGAGGAGGAGGAGGATCGGGGCGATTGGGAGGTAGAGCCCAACTGGGGAAAGACCAAGACGCGCAGGCGCACCGCAGGGGCAGGGGCCCTCCCCGCTGGGAGGGGGGAGGTGCGGGGGGGAGGGGGGGGCGCAAGGCAGTCAGTGCGGGTGGTGGCAGGCAGGGGGGGCGGGGGAAGGGGAAGGGGAAGGGGCAGGGGCAGGGGCAGGGGGAGAGGTAGAGGCAGGGGGAGAGGAGCCGGGAGTGCATCTGGAAGGGCGGGGCAAGGGAGGGGCGCGGGCAGCAGAGGAAGAGGCAGCAAGGCGCGAGTTGCAGGATCAGGTGGGGATGGGGGCAGGGCGCGGGTGGGGTCAGGGAGGTCATGGGGAGGTGTGGGGGAGAGGGGGAGGCGCGCTTTGGGTGAGGCGAGCGGGGAGGGGCTGACAGGGGATGGGGAGGGCAGTGAGGACGAAGATGCAGAGGGGATGGGCGGGGATGAGAGTGAGGGAGAGGGGCATGCAAGTGGGGAAAGGGGGGGAAGGGAGGGGGGCGAGGGTGGTGACGTGGTGAAGGGAGGACACGTGTTGAGGGCTAGGACACCACGGGGGAAGGGGAGGGGGGGAGAGAAGGGAGTGGCGAGGAAGAGAAATGAGGGACTTGAGAGTGGGGAGGGGCAAGAGAGTGAGGAGGGGCAAGAGAGTGGGGAGGGGCAAGAGAGTGAGGAGGGGCAAGAGAGTGGGGAGGGGCAAGCGAGTGAGGAGGAGCAAGAGAGTGGGGAGGGGCAAGAGAATGAGGAGGAGCAAGAGCGAGCAGGGGGTGAGCGAGGGCACATGTCGAATTGGGTCGTGCAGAGTGCATCACTGGGTACTGACGAACGTGCAGCCGTGCGTGGGGTGGGCGCTGTGTGGGCTGTGCAGATGACGACGACGCCTGGCGCCCCTCCAAGCGCGCTCGCTGCTGACCCCGCTCCCAACACCGCCCCTGGCACTGCCGCTGCTGACCATCTAACTGCTGCTGGCGCTGGTGCAGGTGGCGGTGCGGCAGCAGAAGCAGCGCACGGGGGCCTGCCAGTGATGGTACCGGCTGGCACGAGGAGGAAGAGGAACGCGCGGGGGACAGCAGTGCAACGCACAGGCCGCACAGACAGTCTGGGAGGAGGGGGCGTGCAGGAGGCTGCGGGCGGCGGTGGGGCGGGTGTGTGTGCTCTCGCGCTGCTTCTTCCCCGCACAGCAGCGCCGGCTGCTGTTGCGTGTGAGGCTGGTGGTGCAGACATGGGTGGTGCAGGGAGCGGGGCCAGCGGGGCCAGTGAGGGCGAACACGCTGCAGGACGGCAGGATGGTGGACGGGCGGATGACGGGGTAGATGGAGGGGCAGGTGAAGGGACAGGTGAAGGAGCAGGTAGTCATGTTGAGTGCCAGACAGAGATTGGCGAGGAGAAGGGAGCGACTGGCGAGGAGGAAGGGAAGGGTGAGGATGTGAGGAGAGAGGGGGAGGGCGAGGGCGCAGAGGAGGACGCGAGAGAGGCAGGTGCTGGTGTGGCAGCGGGTGAGGGGGGCAGTAAGATAGAGGAGGGACGTCATTTTGAGGCAGAGGGGAGTGGAGGGAAGGATGGGAAAGATGGGAGGGATGGGAGGGATGGGATGAAGCAGGAGGGGCACAAGAGTGAGGACGAGCAGGATATGGCGAATGCCACTGCTGGTGCTGCTGGTGCCGCTGGTGGTGCTTCTTGTGCCGAGACTGCTGCTGATGCTGCTGGCGCGGATGGTGGTGCGATGGAGGGCTGTGCAGCAGCAGAGGGTGCAGAAGGTTGGTTGCTGCAGGGTGTTCTGGGGGCGGAGAGCAGGGCGGGCAGTGAGGGCGCAGGGGGTGCGGGGGACGGAGGGGAGTGGGGGGAGGAAGGGGGGGAGATGAGTGCGCGCAAGGAGGAGCTGTTCGTTGAGCTGTTTGGGGAGGAGGGCGCGGACGAGGGCGCAGGGCTGCCTGGGGACGACCTGCTCAGCCCGCTTGGTGCTGGGGCGGGGGGCACGGACGAGGGCGGTGGGGGGGAGGCTGGCAGAGACGAGGGCGGTAGGGAGGATGGCGGAGGGGAGGTGGGCGTCAAGGAGGAGGGAGACGGAGGCAATACTAGCGAGAGGAATGGGTGTGATGGAGGGAATGCGAATGGGGAGCCAGGGTGTGAGAGGGAGAGCGGTGGCGGGCAAGCAGGGAGCGATGGTGGCATGAAGGCGCTATGCAGTGAATGGGGCAGCAGTGAGGGGCAGCACGCATGCACAATTGGTGCGCCTGCTGATGCCCCGGCTCCTGCCAGGGCTGGCGATGCAGCTGAAGCTAGGGAGCTGGCTGGGGAAGAGGGTGGGAGGAGTGCAGAGAGGGGTGTTGCGATGGAGGAAGGGCAGGGCCGGGAGGACGTGGAGGGGAACGCGGGGGGCGAGCAGAGAGAGAGGGGCGCAAGTGGTGGCGTGGATGGTGGTGGCGGGCACAGTGAAGGGGAGAGAAGCGGATGTGGTGCTGCTGATGGCGACGAGGCTTGTGGAGGGGGAGGAAGGGGGAAGGGGGAAGCAGAGCAGGAGGTCGAGAGGGGGAAGGGGCAGGAGAGGGATGGTCTGGGCGAGGATGGTGGGGCGAGTGGGGAGTGTGAGAGGGTGGGAGATGGTGGAGCGACGGGTGCAGATGGGGGTGAGCGAGCGGCGAATGATGAGGCGGATATAGGGGGTGGGGTGAAGGAGGAGGGGTGTGAGGGGAACGATGCGCTCAGAATAGAGCAAGGGGAGAGGATGGGCGGGAAGAGAAAGGTGAGGAGGCGATTGGAGCATGGCAAGAGAGATGCAGGGGAGGGTGCGGATGGGGAGAGTGCAGGGGAGAATGGGAATGGGATTGAGAGCAAGGCGACAGAGAAGGAGATTGCAGAGAAGAAAGGATGCAGCGGTGAGGGTGAGGAGGCAGAGGAGTCGGAGCATGATACAAGCAATGATGCTGAGGAGGAGGAGGAGGGGGATGAGGAGGAGGAGGATGAGGAGGAGGGGGCAAAGAGTGTAGAGGAGGCGGAAGCGGCCGAGGAGGAAGAAGGGGAGGAGGAGGAGAGTGAGTCATATGGTGAGTCAAGTGAGGGTGATGGGAGTGATGAAAGTGAGGGGAGTGATGCGGGTGGTGAGAGTGATAGGAGTGATGAGAGTGATGGGAGTGATGAGAGTGACGCAAGTGAGGGGAGTGAAGCGAGTGAGGGGAGTGAGGACATGGGCGGCCAGAGGAAGAGGAAGAGGGCAGCTTCTCGGCAAACCAGGACCACTTGCCGCCGCCGGGGCAAGCGGGCCACACGCACACAGACAGCAGGGCGGCAGCAGCGGGGCAGGCGGAGCACCGCACAGCACCGCACCCCACCCTCTCGCCGCACTGCTCCCACCCCACCTCCCCCACACAACACAGCGAGCCCGCGCCTGCGCCCGCGCCTCCCCACCTCACCTGCTGCCACACCTACAGGCTCCGGCGCTCGCAGCTCCCCCCTGGCTCTCTCCTCCAGGAGCCCCCGCCTCGCTGCCATCACCCCGCGCGCTTCCCCCCGACTCACCGCCCTGGCACCCTCTCCCGGGACAGGGGGGGCCGAGGCGAGAGGAGGTCGCGATGGAGAGAGGAGCGAGGGGGGTGGCAGGGCAGTGGGGCGGGTGCGAGCGGGTGCGGGGTGGGTGGGGGGGACGGAGTGGAGGGAGGGCGACCCTTACCTGCCCCAGGTGGGTGATGACGTCATCTACTGCTTCCAGGGCCACCTCAGCTTCCTGGAAAGTGCTGGGCGCAGCCGCAGCCGGGGCCTGGACGAGAAGCTTCGGAGGAAGCTGCGGCCGGCGGAGCCGTGTGTGGTGGAGGAGGTGGGGTACTACTGGGTGGAGAGCGGTGGTGGGGGGGCAGGGCAGGGGCGGCGAGGGGGAGGCAGGGGGGCGGGGGAGGCGCGGCGAGTGGGGTGCAGAGCGGTGCTGCTGGTGGTGGAGAGTGAGAGCCCTGCGTTTGGGGAGCGGGTGGGGGTGGAGGTGGAGGAGGAGGGCGAGGAGTATGTGGTGGAGCGCTGGCGCTATGATGCTGCCCTCGCCAAGGGCTGGCACCCCAAGCAGCACTGCCTGGTATGTGGTCTGCCGGGCGCTGGGAGGTGGTTCATGCACCACGCACAAAGCTATTTCCACTGCTGCTACTTGCTCCACTCCCCTCCCCCCCTTTTCACCACCCCTCCCCTCTCCGTCCCTCCCCATGCACGCGCCTCTATGCTTGCCCGTAGGCGTATTGGAGCCGGGAGTCACTACCACCAGGCCTCAAGCCACCACCCCTGCCGGAGTCATCATCGGGCAGGGCAATGGCAGAGCACCCACGCGCAGTGCTGTTCCGCGGCCGCATCCAGTCCGATGGCCCCTTTGACCCCGCCCTGCCCCTCAGCCCCTGGCGCAGGTCAGCCCCTCAGCGCCTGCTGCCCCTCAGCGCTTGCTGCCCCTCTTGCTCCCGTTTTCCCAACCTGCTCCACTGCCTCTGCATGCCCTCTGCTTCACACCCCTCCATTCTCACCGCTGTCCCCCCATTCCCCCCCTACTCCCCCTCCCTCGTCTCCTCAGGCTACGGGTGTACTACGCGCACGACCGCAGTGTGGAGAGGCAGAGCGCGTGGGAGCTGCTCCACCCCGACCCCGCGCTCTGGCCCACCCGCCCCGCGTTGCCTGCTCACCTGCTCAGCGCCGCCAGGGAGGCACTGCGCGCGGTGGAGCAGGACGAGGACGTGCACGGCTCCCTGCACCTCCTCTACTCGCCCGACTCCTCTCCTGCTGCCCTCTCCTCGTGCGTACCTTCCCCTCTCTGTCTTGTTGTCGTTTGCCCTGCTGCCTGTACACTGCTCGCTTGCAGCTATCTGCCTTCCCTTCCCTTCTCTGCCTTGCTCCCCCGCCTGCACACCCTATGTGATCCTCCCGTTCCTCACTGCATCCATTGCTCCAACCTCCTGTCACACCATCACCTCCACATCCCCCCTTCCCCCACCCCCAGCATCCCAGTGCTAATGAGTGTGGCACTGGTACAAGCGCGCATGGCATCAGGCTGGTACCGCTCACTCGACTCCCTGCTGCACGACACCAACCTCATCGCCTCCAATGCCCTCTCCCTGCACGGCACCTCCCACCCCATCGCTGCCGCTGCCGCCCACTTCTCCACACAGTTTGCCGCCCGCCTTAAGGCCCTCACTAGTGGAAGCAGGGCGTGAGACAGCCCACCCTGCTGAGTGTGACTCGGCTGTAAATAATGTGGCTGCGATTAGTGTCACTGGTGTGCGCGAAATAGTGCTACAGTACTAGGGCGGCCTACCCACGAACATGCTTTCTCGAGATCGTGTTGCTGAACTTGCTCTCACTTAGCTGCTAGATATGGGCGCCGCACCACTAATCTGCTGCGCACCACTAGTCAGGTTAGATCTTAGTTTGAGGTCATGTTGAGGTCCTAGTACTAACAAGCTACCATACTACTGTTTCTGATCTACTAGCTCAGGTCTTGCCTATTATGATAATCAGATGTTACAGATCCCAATGTGCTACACCACCTCAGCTACTAACCTCGAATGTGTAATGTATCAACACATGATTATTCCACACGTTACCCCCCAGTTAATAAGGATCTACCTATACTAAAACACACAGCCAATATGCATGTGTGCTAAAACCTATTTTGCTAAACGTGATGTACAAACATTGGCGCATGTCATCCAAAGTAAATGGGCCCAGAAGTGGCCTTATTGCGCATGCGGGTGTAGAAATCAGCCATCTCAGCCTGCTCTGCCGCCATCTCTGCTGCCTCTGCCAGCTCCTCCCGCCGCCCCGATCCCCCCCGTCCCCACTGGGCGAACGGGCCTGACGGGTTCCGAAGCTGCCCCGAAGTTGCGAAAGAAGGGAAATTTCTTCTCAGCTGCCCGGATGGGGTGACCTGGGCAGCAGAGTACTCCCCGTTGCTGGGCACTCTCACCATCTGCGCTGATTGCGCCACCCTGCCCGACATTTCAACCTGCCCGGACAGCCCCACATTGGAGCGGGCTCTGCGCAGCCATTGGTTGGCGCCGCGCTGGGGCACGTTAAGCTGCCCGGAGGAGGCGGTGTGGTGGGCGGCAGCCAGCGGGTTGGAGAAGCGCACAACCCCGGACACCGCCCGCCTTGCCTGCTGCATTGACTGGCTTGACTGCATTGACTGCTGGTATGACTGGCCTGGCAGACCGCTGGCTTGTGGGGAAGCAGCACGGGGGGACGATTGCCTTGCCTGCCCATGATGCCCGTGTTGCCCCTGCACCTGCCCGTGGCCATGCATGGCCATGGGAGGAGTGCCTGCCCCATGAGTGCCCAGCTGCTTGAGTATTCTCAGCTGCCCCGACCGGTTCAGCTGAGCAAAGTGCGGCATCTGCCCCCACGCCGACCCTGATGCCGACAGCATGCCCGACCCTGCAATCCCCGAACCTATCCCCGAACTTATGCCCGACCCTGCGATGCCCGAACTGCCGCCCTCGGCAGCCCCCTGTCCCCCACCCACCAACTGCCCGGACATGCGCACATGATGCTCGCCTCCCCCCGCCCCTGCAGCAGCGGTGGTGTCGGTGGAGCCAGAGGGGGCAGCATGGGCAGGCGGGCCCATGGCAGAGTACGACCATGCGCCGCTGCCACTGGCGTTGGTGCCACCATTGGTGTTGCCCGTGGGATAGGCAGTGGTGGTGCTGTTCAGGTTCAGGTGATCCGGCACCTGCAGCTGCCCTGACGCCAGCCGCCGCAGCTGCCCAGACGTTCGCAGCTGCCCGGAAGCCCTGAGCTGCCCGGAAGGGTTGAGCTGACCTGAGGCAGTGAGGTGGCCCGAGCGACCCACACGGATGCTCTGTGGCGACCCAAAAAAAGAGCAGGGAAGGTGGCGACACGAGGATGTTAGGGTATAAGCGATGGAGCAAGAAGCGAGGAGTGACATGGGGAGTGAGCGAGCACAGCAGATCAGCAGAGCATAGGACGAAAGGGGGCAGCGATGCAGGGGGCGGCAACAGACAGCAGGCAACAGCAGGCAGCAGGGAGCAGGGAGCAGGGAGCAGGCAGCAGGGAGCAGGCAGCAGGGGGCAGGCAGCGGGGGGCACTGACCCGGGAGCGCAGCATGGAGGGCGTGGGGGCGTAGTCGGCACCGCTGTCCTCCACAGGGTACTGTGGGTCTGGTGGGAGGGGGGAGGGAGGGGGGAAGGGGTGGTGGCGCGGAGAGGGAGGCTCTGTGAGTGCCTTGGAGCGAGGGTACGCGGGCAAGGTGCGGTGAGGGTGGAGAGGCGTGCAGCTTTGCAGCTGGGGGAGATAAGCACCAGCGTTGACGGTGAGGCAGTGGGCTGACCTGCAGCAGCAGCGAGGGCGGCGACGAGGGCAGCGCGGTGGGAGGGAGACACAGAGAGGCCGCGCCTCAACGTGGGCGTGGAGCCACCCGTGCCCGGCAGCCCCCCACTGCTCGCCCGCGCTAGACCCCCTGGCCCCCCTGCAGCGGCGGCAGCGGCAGCAGCAGCGGAATCCGCAGAGCCCACCCGCACCATGCGCGCCGCCCCGCCCTCCCCTCGTGCCGCTGCTGCGCCCTGTGCCCCCGGCTGTGGTGAGGGATGGCCATGGGCGGCCATGGAGGGCTGCGAGGCGGACGCGTGGATGGGGAGGTGGTGGGGGAGATGCATGCCGTGCAGGTGCATCTGGTGCAGCAGCGACGGCTCTATCCCACTCAGCGACCCCACTGCCGCACTGCCCTCCGCCTCCTGCTCACCCCCTGCCCGCCGCCCTGCCCCCGCTCGGTTGGACGGTGACTGTGGCTGTGTGCCGGGCTGGCTGCCTGCGTTGCTGCCCCCGTGACTGCCCCCATGACTCCCCCCGTAGCTCCCTCCATAACTGCCAGCGTAGCTGCCTGCAGCGAGGGACAGGGGCAATGTGCCCCCACCCAGCCCCCCAGCATGCCTGCCCACGCCCGTGCCCACGCCCATGAACTCTGCCCCTGCAGGCCGCCCCATGGCATCGATTGGCCCTGACATCCCCCTCTGCCTTCCCCCTGCGCCCATCCCCACGCCCAGCTCGCCTGAGGGGAACCGCCTTCCCCCTGCCCGTGCGCCCGCACCCTCTGCCAGCTCCCCCGATCGCCTCAGCTCCCCCGACCGCCTCGGCCCGCCCGCTGGCCGCCCTGCCACCAGCCGCCCGGACAGCCGCCCAGACAGCCGCCCGGATGCGCCGCCCATGCGCAGGCGGCCGGAGAGGCGGTGCGGGTGGTAGGGGTGGGGGTGGTGGGGCGTGGCGGGCGCGGGGGGGCGCGGGTCGGACGCCCAGATGACAGCCAGCGGCCCCGACACCGACCTCACCAGGCGCCTCAGCGCCGCCCTCGCCCACGCCTCCTCCCCTTCCTCCACCGCCCCCCCTGCGCCCTTCCCCTCACACCCCTCCTGCCCCTCCGCGTCGTCATCCCCCTTACCGCCGTCCCCCAGCCTGGCTGCCTCCCTGGCAGCAGCAGAAGGGGGGAGGAGCGGACCAGAGGGGGGGCGGGGCATGGCGGCACCACTACCAAAGGTGCTGTTGGTGGGTGCGTGGAAGAGGATGGGGCCTGAGATGGCACGCGAGGGCTTGAAGGCGGAGGGGTGGCGGCGCGATGAGAAGGACGGGAGGGCGAAGAGAGGGCGCGAGGGCGCAGGGAGGCGCTCACTGGCGGGGAGGAGAGGGGGGGTGGGGCCTGGAGGGGGTGCTGCGCCGCCCCCTGCTGCTGCAGCCATGAAGGCTGCTGCATGCAGCGATGACGGCAGGGATGACAGCTGCGCCATGCCCCCCTGCATGCCCTCCTCCCCCATCCCGCCCATCCCCCCCATGCCGCCCATTCCTCCCATGTCGCCCCCCTGGTGCTGCTGTGCCTCCGCCACCAGCTGTGGGCGGGGCGAGTGGGGGAGGAACGAAGGACGTGGAGGGAAAGGGGAAGATGGGTGATGAGCGAGGGAGGGAGGGGCATGCGGGTGTGGCATGATGTGCGCACACCCAACACACATGCGGCAAGCGCCCATGAGGCCCATGGCGTGAGCAGGGTTGGGGGGGTGGGAGAGGAGAGGAAGCGTACCTGCGCGTAGGCCTCGAGGGGGTCGAGGTCGAGGTCCGCCTCCATGTCGTCCTCGTACTCCTCCCCCTCCATGTACCATGGCGCGCCTGTCGCGTCGTACCCGCTGCTCGCACAGGGGGAGGGGTGGTTGGGGCACGCGGAAGGGAACACACAGAGGCAGGAGGGAATGAGAGGCAGGCGGGGAGGAGGGTGGAAGGGAGCGGGTTGAGCAGTGAGCGCGGGCAGGAAGAGGAAGGCTGTGAGGACGGGCAGGAAGAGGAAGGCTGTGAGGGCGATGCGACACTTACTGTGCGTAGAGTAGCGCCTCGCGTCGCCTTCTTGATGCTGCCATTCCCACACACAGAGACACGCACATGCACACACGAGTCAGCACCAGCACATATCCCTAAGCATCAGAAACAGCAGCACCCCTCCCTTTCCCCACTCCTTCTCCCTCCTCCCCCCCTCCCCTCACTGCAGCGGCTGAGCAAGAGAAACAGCAGCACGCCTCCCTACTTTCTCCCCTCCCTACTTTCTCACCTCCCCAATTCCTCCCCCCCACGTCTTCCCCTCTACTCACCGCGGCGGCTGAGCACGGTGCAGATGGCGACGCCAGCCACGAGGATGGCGGTAGCCATGGCGGCCCACGCACCGTACGAGATGCCCAGGGGCGGCCCCTCGGCGCCCTGGGGTGCGCTGTTGGAGGCGGGCGCGGCGGCCATGGAGCAGTTGAACGACGAGATGCGCCCGGAGGGCAGCGCCAGGAAGTAGGATGATGCTGCGAATATCATCGCTGGGGACGTGCTGCAGGGTGGGAGGAAGAGGGGAGGGGGGTGGAGGGAGGTGAAGGGGAAATTGGTGCGGGAAGGGAGGGAAAAGCAATAGTGGTTGATGGATGGGATGGGGACGGGAGGGGATGGAATAGGAAGGGGTGAAAGGAGGTAGCAGCACAGGCTGACGGCTGAGAGAGGGGGGCAGCACAGCGAGCAACCCCATGTGGATGCGGGGACTGAGAGGGCGGGAGGGGAGCAGCACCGCACATGAGGTTGTGCAGCAGCACGCCGGGCATATTGAAGCTGGTGGCTTGGAAGAAGTTGACAGTGGAGTGCACGAGGATGCTGCCCGCATAGATGGCGTCGATCGCCACCTCCACCTGCCCCTCGTACCCCGTCGCGCGCGCCGCTGCGCTCATCTGCGCTTGGAACTGTGCCTGGAACTCCTGCAGCCGCGCGCCCTCGCGGATGGCGCTGATGTTGGCGCCCCCCAGCACCACCACGCTGCGCACCAGCACCCCGTGCTGCGGCGCCTCGCCCCCCATGCTGCCGTTGCTGCTGCCGCTGCTGTTGCTGCCGGTGCTGCTGTTAGCGGTGCTTCCAGGGGCGGGCGGGGCGCCGGGCGGGGGGAAGATAGGTGGAGCAGGCGGGGAGGGGGGCGGGGGGGGAGTGTAGGGGGGCGCGGCGGCGAGGGGGAGGGGGGAGGGGCGGCCGGAGGGCAGGAGGCAGAGACCCGAGGCGTGGTCGCAGGAGGCAGGCGCGCGGCAGGTGGAGGCGGGTGTGAGGGCGAGCGGTGAACACGCCACCTGAAGGGGGGATTGTCGGGGGGGAGAAGGGGAGATGGGGCAGAGCGAGGGGCTGTCAGAACATAAGGAGGGAGCAGAGGGCATATGAGAACGGTATAGGAAGCACTCGAGGAAGCACCTGCGAAAGCATCTGGCATGCACCTGGGGAAGCACCTGACATTGGCCTGGTGAAGCAACTGGGAGGTTCTCACCTGGCTGCAGTCAGCGGCAGCGTAGCCGGGCAGGCAGTGGCACGTGGTGTTGTAGCATATACCTGCTCACACGCACCACAGGGGAGTTGCAGAAAGAACAGGAGCACGCAAGGGCAGGGTGGTTGTCTGCACAACAGATGACTTTTGAGTCGACTCGAAAGTCATCTCGTTACAATGCCACACGACACACCAGAGGCCAGGGCAGCTAGCAGCGCAGCTGCTCTGCCTCACTGCTCACTCTCCTTATTTTCTTCCTGGTTCCCCCACCCCCTCTGCCTCCCCCGCCAACACCGCTCCTTGCGCACCTTTCCCCGAGCAGTCGTTGGGGCAGGAGGCAGTGAGGCACATGCGGCGGTTGTCAGGGCAGGGGCCGATGGAGCCCCCGTGGAAGTCCCCTCCGCCCTGCTCGAGTGCCACCATGCGCCCTGAGGGGCACGCGTACCACTGCGCTCCCACACGCACCTCCACCACCATCCCGCCCCCCCTCTTCCCCCGCCCCCCCCTTTTGCCCTTCCCCTTGCCCTTGCCCCGCAGCTGGCGCTTGGGGGTGGAGGAAGGGGCGGGCAGCGAGAGCGCGCTGCCGCCCTGCGCCTTGGGGGCAAGGGCAGCACTGCCGTTGCCGTTGGCGCCAGCCGAGGGATCCAGGGCGGGAGCAGTGGGGGGGTCATCAGCGGATTCAGCGGAGCGGGAGTCACGGGAGGAGGAGGCGGAGGGGACGCAGCGCATGGGGTAGCAGCCGGCGCCGGGGGGCGGGGTGGCACCGGCACCGAAGGCATAGTCGAAGAACTGCGGACCGTGCAGGAAGCAGCGCGACGACGGGCCGTACGCCATGCCCAGCTGCTGCACCTCCGCTGACCGGCTCTCCTCCGCTCCACGTGGCGCCTGGCAGCGCTGCGACTCCACACTGCATTGGGAGGAGGGGGGAGATGGGGAAGGGGAGAGGAGAGATGGGGAGGGGGAGGGGGGAGGTGAGGTGCGGTGAGGGGGGATGGAAGGCGGGAGGAGAATTGGCGAGAGGGGAGAAAGGGAGAAAGGGGGCGGTGGAGGAGGGCAGCAGAGGCGAGCATGAGCAGGTGAATGCGGCGTACCTGGTCTTGTGCTTGCACGTGCCAAAGAGGCAGGTCGCGGGGGAGGAGGAGGAAGAAGAAGAGGAAGGGCCGCAGCCCGAGTCACAGGTGGCGACAGAGAGGAAGTCGGAGGAGCATGTCAGCGGCTGGGGGTGGGGCGTGGGGGTTGGGAGGGGAGGAGGTGAGATGAGAAGGGGGAGAGAAGGGAGGAGAGCGTGGGCAGGATGGCACAGCATGGAGCCAGGAGGGAGATTGCAGGAATGACCCATGGCACTCCCAACCCCACGGTGAACCCACCATGGGCACGCGGCGCATGTCCCCCCCCGCGGAGAAGGTGGCGGAGCGGTTGAGGTCCGCCGCGGAGCAGAAGCCGGGGGGAGTGGTGGCGGACGCGGACGCGGACGCGGAGGCGGAGGCGGAGGGCGGGCAGGAGAGGGCGGCGGTGGCAGCAGAGCAGCCGCGGTGGTAGCCGGCGCGCAGCATGCCCGCCATGCCTGGCGTCACCGCGTACCACCCGCTGTCCTGGAAGAGCGCTAGCGTCAGCTCTGATACCACCGGCACCCCGTCCAGTAGGGGCGTCTGGAGGGGGGATGGGGAGTTCGGGAGGGGAGGGAGAGGGGTGATGAGTAGCGGCAAGGCATGTGAGGGGATGGGAGGGAGAGGGGTGATGAGTGGCGGCAAGGCATGTGAGGGGATGGGAGGGAGAGGACCCGAGTAGAGCGCACAGGCGCCTTACATTGGCTGCTCGCTGCCATTGCCCTCTTCTCGCTCTCTCTCCCTGCTTCCCACCTCACCATGTACTCGTGCTCGAAGCGCAGCACGCTCCAATGGCTGCTCACCACCTCCCCGCCCTCGCCCCCCCCAACTCCGTCCAGCGCCACTCCCCCCGTCAGCGCTTCCTCCGGCTGCGCTGACGCCACCAGTGACCCCCACTCCGTGCTGTTCGCTTCCGCAGGAGGCGCGGAGGCGGGGGAGGAGGCGGGCGCGGAGACGGAGGGCGGGGCGGAGTGCAGCTCGGCGCCGTCGAGCGCGGGGCAGTCGAAGTGGCGCTGCGCCGCGGCGACCACGGCGGGCGTGACGATCTTCGACACGTTGCTGCCGTCCGCCTGCCGCGCCGTCGCCACCACCTGCGCGTACGGCTGGCCTGGTGGGCGCGGAGGGAGGGAGAGAGAGGGGAAGGAAACAAAGAGCGCGGAAGCGTGATTGTGGAGCGGAGGAGACGAGGGGAGGGGACAAGGCAGACGGAGGGCAGCAGCGGAGTGGCGGGGCGTGGGGAGCGGCGTACCTCTTACGTCCTTGAAGAGCGGGAAGAGCGCGGAGCTGAAGGCGAGTGCGTGCGTGAGCTGGTGCAGCACCACGTGCACCTAGGGGGGAGAGGGGGAGAGAAAGGGAGGGGGAACGGGGGAAAGTGGAAATCAGGGGGACGATGCGATGTGAGGACGTAGGGGGAAAGGGAAAGGGAGGAAGGGGTGGAGGGGAGGAAAAGGGGGGGTAAAAGTGCGGGCAGGCGGCGTGACATGAATGCGCCTGTTCCCCCTGCCACCCACGCGCCGAGCACCCAGCGCATTCTTCCCCACCCGGCGCTACCTGCGAGTCGTACGAGGGCGAGTGCTGCCCCACGGCGCGCCAAGCCAGCGGGCAGAGGTTCAGCGATGCGGCGAGCGGGCGGTTCGACGCGGGGTCCACCGCGCAGTGCGACGCGTGTGCCGCTGCCGTGGTGCTGCTGCACGTCGCCGTTTGCTGCTCCGCGGAAAAGGAGGGCACGGGGAGGGACGGGGGGTGCGTTGATTGGGAGGGTGAATGCAGGAGGGGATGACGGGAGCTGTGGGGGGGATTGCGGAAGGAAGCGGGAGGGCGCGGGGGGGGGGAGGGGATGGAGGAGGCAGGCCGCAGGCACAGCTAGGGGGGAGCTGGTAGGCGGAACGACTCACCTTGGCTGAGAGGAACAGGATAATGTCAGCACCAGGTGTGCCTGTCCCAGCTGCCACCTCCCCACACGTGGCGGGGTCCTCTGATTGGCAGAGCGAATGCGCCGCCAGCAGGGATGGGTCCACGTCGATGTCCACCTCGGCCTGCACGGATGGAACACAGAACGCCACGTCATAACGGAGGAACAGCCACATGGACATGGCGTGAATGCGGGTGCTAGCTGCATGCTGTTGCGGCATTCGCACTCCTCCGCTTCCCCCTCTCCCTCTCCCCATCGCTCCCTCATCCCCGCCGCCCACATCTCGGCCCCTTGCTATATTAATGCTGTTTTTGACATGGGCGACACTCACGTCGCACATGGGCGGCACTCACGTCGCACATGGGCGGCACTCACGTCGCACATGGGCGCGAGCTGCGTGCAGGCGGAGGTGCCGTTGGAGAGCGCGGTGAACGCGGCGCACGTCACGGGCAGCAGCAGCGGGTCGGGCGGCAGCACGCGCACGGAGAGCAGCCGACTCAGGTAACTGGGGGAAGGGGGTGCGGGGGATAGAATGTGCGTGGCGAGGGGGAAGAACGCGGAGCGTGCGGAAGAGGGGAGTAGGGTGAGGGGTTGCGGGTGGGAGTGAGGGAGGCGGGAAGAGGGGCTGGGCGAAGGCGAGCGACGGGAGGGCGCGGCTACCAGAGCACGTCCGGCACGAGCGTGCGTACCTGAGCGCGTCGGGCACGAGCGTACGTACCTGAGCGCGTCGGGCACGAGCGTGCCTTGGATGTATTTCGCCCGCAGGGGGTCGTCGGGTAGGTCCTGCTCCACCGACGACACCTGCTCAACGCGGTCAACGCGGTCAACGCGGTCAACGCAACGGGGGTGGGCGGGAATTAGGCGCAATGCATGCTATCGGCTGGGGCATTGGGTGGGCCTGTAACCATGAGCGGGCGGGAAAGAAGGAATTGGGGTGAGTTTGGGGCAGTGGGCGCACCGTGTGGAAGCGGAGCGGTCGAGGGGGGGAAGCGGAGGCGGCGGAGACAGTGGCGGCGGGAGAGGCGGTCCAAAGCAGCTGCCGCAAGGGCGGGGAGGGGCGTTGACGAGCCCACTCCCCCACGCCGAACCTGAGAGGTGTGGAGAGGAAGGGACGTGAGCACAAAAAGACGAGGGGCTGCCCTCGACGCCATTCGTCGCCCGTGCTCTCTCATCCCTCTTCCCATCTCTTCCACCTGCTCCTTCACCCCCTCTAACTCCCACACTACCGGCGCCTGCCCACGTCTCACCCCACCCACCCTGTGCGGTACGACGCCAGTTGCCGGCGCGTGTGCTCTCTGCTGCGCGCCGCCACGTGCGAGTCGTGCACGCACGTGAACGGTCGCTCAGCCGGGTGCGACGCTGCGTGGTCCAATTCCCATCCATCGGCGCGGCACGGCCAACTCGTTGACGTAACAAGGAGGAGCGCTGCAAGGGGAGCACGGGGGAAGTGAGTCGAGGCGGCGTGAGCGCGTCTGAGGGCTACCTACAGCTGGGGTGGCGAGGTAGAGGGGGTGAGGAGGTATGTCGACGGACTAGGCGAATGTGCTGACGGGCGACGCGGATGGAGATGCGGTAGCAACGATGAACAACGGACAGGACGGCGAGGGGGCCAAGGGACATGGCCTCTCGAAAGGCGATGGGAGAAAAGTGGAGATCTACTCGTCAGAGCGAACTATATCAACGCAGGGTGACGAGAGGAAAGGTCAAGGTAGAGGCGGAACACAAAGGTCATATCGCACCTGTGAAGAGCGCTATGCGGGACTTGAACGGCGGCATGGCTGCCGGCGAAAGGGGTACGAATCAGGCGTCGCTAGCATCGAGGGGGCTATTACCAAGCTTGGGGAGAATTACTCAAAGCATTGAGAGCATGTGTGTCGCCTACACCTGCCACGAGTAGAAAACCCTAGAACAATAGTGGGACTAAGTCAACATTAGTGAATTGACAAGTACATCGCCCTGTTAGTGTGTGATGGCCACCAGCTCGTCTCACTCCTTCGGCCCATCACTTGATCCTGCTTTACCTACATTCATGGCTGGCACGGCGACCCACAGAAGAGCAGTTGTGGGAGTGAGTGAGTGGGTCGTGCGCGGATGGGTGCGCGGTGGTGCAGAGACGGGTCTCGCAGAGCAGGGCTGGGTGAAGTCAGAAGCCACGCGAATTTGCGACGCGACTCCAGTTCAGATGCCTCACGACACGAATTGCAGAGTGGCGGGAAGCAGCGGACCGCCTAGAATCTGAACATACACCGCAATCAATTCATAACGTTTGGGTTATAAAACATCATTTTATCCAACATCTTATTTTTCATCCAAGGTACACTCCATGCTTGGAGCTTAAAGCTGATTATATAAGGAGTGAAATTTCAAGCCACCAAGTATTGTAAAAATGCTGCGGAGATGAAATGGAAAAACATTGTGTCGAGGGCTAGCCACCTTACATGCAGATGCAGCCCTATCACTTAGCGGTGGGGAGTTCACTAATGTACCGGTAATTATACTATGCTGTGCAGTCTTTTATCCATGTTTCAGTTGATCTAGCTGTACCCAGAACCCTCGTGACACCATTTGGCACAGGTTACTGAGGAACTAGAGCAGTTTCATAGGGATAGGAGCAAATGGTACTACCGGATTTTTCTTACAACCTGTTGGTCGCTAGTCCTTGCTCTTTCCTCTTGCAGCTCCTTGATTGGAGGTGTCAGAGATGGTGCAATCCGATTGGACGGGAAGGGAGTGAAATCTGGAAGCATGGCGGCATCCCTAAGCTTGCCAGCAGGTAGGGCTTGGATGGCGGCCAGCTTGAGCTTGAGCCTGGCTGACTCGGCCCCTCTCTGCTGGTGGTGCTTCTGCATCATCAACCTCGAGTACTCGTTCGCCATTCGCCTCTCCTCCCCCTGAGTCGCCTCATCCAGATTTGGCTGGGTGGAAAAGAAAAGGGTGGCGTTGTGGAGAGCCGGTATGTGAAGGGCAGGAGAAGTGGGGGAGGGGTCGAATGGGTGGAAAGGGGGCAGCATCATGAATCTCTGCATGATTGAATCGTTCAAGCCCGTGAAGCAGCGGTTACAGCAATACACGAAAAACATGAACCTTTGAGCATCGGACGAAGGATGCGTCAGTACTCAAAGGACAACAGCGCTTCAACAACCAACAAAGGCAACTTTCATAGTTCCCTCGCCCATTTCATACAGCCGCACGGTGATGACGTCATTACAGATCTTACCAGCTGTACTTGAGCATGACGAAGCGCCGCCTCCACAATGGAGGCCGCCTTCCCTTGGTCTTCCAAAGCTTTCTTCTTCCCGCCGCTGCTTCCTCCCGTCGACTTCGCCTTCACCTTGCTCTTCCCCGCGCTTTCAGCAGCTGCTGCCGCGGCGGACGCAAACTGGCGCCCGACAGCTTGCTTGATCTGCTGGGAGCGCGTAATGACCGCCGATCGGAGCATCGCCACTGCGAAAGCTCCTAACAGCACGATGCATACGGGTAAGAACTGCTGAGAACTAGATCATTGTCGGTCGCGACACATAAAGATGTGGATGCACTGTAAGCATTCGTACACGCAGATGCGTTACATGTATCAGAGGAGAACTGTAGGTGGCTTGGAGTATAAGCAGGTCTATGACTCCTATGAAACAGCAGACATTGAGTATAGTCTCTTGAGATTTGCTCGGTCAGGGGAATGTTAGTTCATGAACAAATCGAGCAGTCCTTTCAGGTGATGCGCCCACAATCTTCGTACTCTAGAAAAAGTGTCTCGTATTTCAGCCAATAGAAAACTAGCAACACATTAGGATGACACGAGACAAGGCACTTCATGACATGTCAGTAACATCATCCACGCTGGATTGCCCATCGCACTTGGAAACGGGATAAGGCAACTGAATATTTCGTTGCTTACTGTCTGCCCGCGAAGAGAAGGGGCCGAATCTGGACTCACCTGCCTTCGTGGCAAGAAGGTTCGGGAGAATGCTGATATTTCAGCCAACCAGCAGGGAGGTTACCACGTGAGTTTGAATCCTACCATAAGAGGCAACTCGTCGCACGTGATCGTTGGATTTCGCCAGGCTGCCCCCATCTGCTTTGCCCGAACCGGCACCGAACCTGACTGCACACGGAAAGCGTACACGTAGTCCCCCCAAACCACTGGGGGAGCTGGTTTGTGCTGTTCGTCCCCCCCTGACCGGCGGGCCAGCGCAGCAGAGCGCAGCTGCAGCATTTGTCGGTCCCCTCCACGCGTATTTGGTCGCTCGCCCTCTCAGCCACAACATTTGTACATTCTGCCTCCAACGTTCCCTGAGATTACTTTCTCCTAATTTGTCTCCTAAAGCCAGCCTGACAAGATGAGTGTGTGAAGGATTTACGGGTTGGCCCTTTTTTTCCTGTAGAATCTAGTGACCTTCTGGTCGACGCTTCGCTCCACCAGCTTTTCTTCTCCTTCTAATCATCATGATTTTTGAGGTCGACGACTTTTCCTCGCCATCAGTGGCGTCACCTCCGTCCAGTTCATGTCGCCTTGACGACTTGCCTGGCGAGCTTCTCGTCGAAATTTTGAAGGTATGCATCTCGTTCTAGGTAGTTCTATCAGTTGCCGGCGTTTCTAATTGCAACCTTCTAACGTCGTTCCTGTTTGCGCGTTACAGAATTTGGAGAAGCAAGATACGGGAAGGAGAGCACATTTGAGAGCAGCGTCGCTCGTTAGCCAGCAATGGCTGACATCCTCCGGCCTGGCTTGCTCGACCCTCTCTTTGAGTGGCCTCAAGGTAATTCTTGCCTCCCGCATTGTCGTCGCCTCTTCCTCCCGCTATGCACGTGTCTGTACGCTGACTCCTATTGCCATTCTCAATTCCGCAGGCATCCAAACTCCCGAAGCTCCTGGCGAGGTTCCCGTCGCTCGCGGTGCTGAACCTGAATTTCCTCTTCGATTGCTCCGAGGACTCCCTGGCCAGCATCGGCCGTCTGTGTCCGCGGCTGCTCGAGCTGCACGTGCCCGAGACCTGCAAGGCCGCTGATGGCGCGGGACTCGTCGCTCTCGCTCGCGGCTGTCCCAACCTCTCCATTCTCTCCCTGCCTGCCTTCAAGGGTCCCGACCACTCGCTCATGGCGCTGGGCTCGCACCTGCCTCGCCTGCTCAAGCTGCGCCTGCGCTCGGTTCCGCATCTCACGGACGCCGTGGTGGCGCACATTGCGCAGAGCTGCCGGCGCCTGGAGGAGTTCGACCTTTCTTTCACGGACATCACGGACGCCGCGCTCGCCGCCGTCGGCGCGGGGCTGCAGGCGCTGGAGCACCTCGACGTCAAGCACTGCAAGCGCGTCACCGGCGCCGGCGTCGCGCAGGTGGCGGCGGGGTGTCCGCAGCTGCGCCTGCTGCATCTGGGCGTCGTGGACGTCAGCGATGACGGTCTGGCGGCACTGGGCCGTCACAGCCGCCGGCTGGAGGAGCTGTACCTCGACTACGGCGCGGGGGAGACGCACCAGCTCTCGCGCGAGGCCTTCTCGTCGCTCGCCGCGGGCTGCCGCAAGCTGCGCGTGCTGAGTCTGCGCGGCAGCCGCCAGGTGGACAGCGGCGCCGTGTCGGGGCTGGCGCGCGGGTGCCCGTCGCTGGAGGTGCTGGACATGCACGCGTGCGACGCCGTCGCCGACGAGGGACTCGCGCCCGTCATCGCCGGCTGCAAGAAGCTGCGCGAGTTGGTGCTCACGGGCACGGCGGTGGGCGCGGCGGGCGTGCACACGTTCAGAGGCGGGCTGCCGCACCTGGAGCTGCTGCGGCTCAACGGCGAGCTCGTCACGGACGCCGTGCTACACTCGGTGGCCGCCAACTGCCCCGCTCTCACGGAGATACACCTCAGCAACTGCCACGTCAGCGACGAGGGCATCCAGCGGCTGCTGGCGGGGTGTGCGCGGCTGCGCGCGCTCTCCGTGAAGGCTTGCGCGGACGTCAAGGCCACCGCGTTCGACGGCGTCACGTGCGCGGCGCTGGAGACCGTGGCGCTGCCGTCGTGCGGCGTGAGCGACGAAGGGCTGCTCGCGCTGGTCCGCGCATGCCCCGCGCTCACCTCCCTCTCCCTGCCCGCCTGCCTGAAGCTGACCGCCGCGGGGCTCGCAGCGGCGCTGGCGGAGGCGCGCGCGGTGAAGGAGGCGAGCGTGGCGGGGTGCAAGCAGCTGATGCGCGACGACATCGTGCGCCTCACGCGCTGCTGCCGCCCCGCGCTCAGGTCCATCCGCGTGTCGCGCCCGCACTGCCCCGACGACGAGTACACGTTGAAGCGCCTGCACGTGGGGTGGCAGCTGCCCAGCTGGGCGCGCAGCAGCAGCAGCAGCACCAGCCCGCGCCTCTCCGCTGGCTTGGGTGGCTCGCGAGGGCTGTACGGCAGCAGGTCGGCGGGCGGCACGCCACACTCCTTGTAGGTGAAGGCGCTCCCACGAGCCTCCGTGCAGGTACCAACCCCGACACATGGACACACTGCAGCGGTAGCAGCGGCAGCAGCAGCAGCGGTGTGTCTGGATGCGCGTGTTCACCCTCCCCTTAGGACCCCTGTGGCCCGTGTGGAGCCCGGGATGCTCTGACGCCCTGCAGCGCCCTCTGGTGCGAGGCAGGGCAGAGAGAAGAGCACTGGGACGAGTCATGAGCCCGGGGCGATGGGGAGGTGATGGAAGCTGCGTGTCACTCGTGCTGGGTGGAGGTTGCAAGGCGGCAGTGGGTGAATCTGCTCGTGTGTCTGTGGCATCTTTCACTTGCTTGTGCGTTTGACAACGTGGATGGTCAGTGTTTTGTGTGGCTGTGCATATTATGTTGATGAGTGCTGTAAGGCGGTGGAGGGCGAAGTGCCACAGGCGCCACAGCCCAAAGGGCACGTGGTGCTGGCGCTGTGCGAGCATGCTGCATGCCCCGCACAGATGTAAAGAAGGCCAGTTGCCTCCCATCGTTTTTGCAGCATATCAGCTCAGTTTTCCAGTTTGTGATGTTTTTTACTGAAAAGTGCAAAAGCATGGTATTCCAAGGCGAATGGCTTTCTCCTCAAGAGCCCTTTTTTATCACTTCAAAACATAGCACCTTGAGCTGAGCAGGTAGATACACATCAATCGGAAGCAACTCCGGACACACGTTCAGATTAGGCTGCAAGCTGAGTGCAATGCATCAGAGAGTCATGTCTACAATAGCCCGGCCTAGCACATTGCCCTTTTCCAGCTTGCAGTAGGCACTATCCGCATCCTCGAGGCGGTAGCGCTCCGTGACACTGGACACCACGTCCACCCTCCCCGCTGCTGCCAGCGCCACCACTGCTGGCAGGTCCGACCGCGCCTTGGCCCCGTACGACCCTATGATCTTGATCTGCGGAGAAGGGGAGAGTGTGGAGGGATGCATCCAGGAGAAAGGGAGTGCCCTAGGCAGGAATCTGAGAGTGATGACAGAGGTGCAACAGCAGAGAGATGAGGTAGGTGCACTGAAAGCCATGTGTGGGAGGGGCATGAGCAGGGCAGAGGCACTGACATTGCGGCGCACGAGTCGGGTGATGTCGACGGCAGCGGTGGTGCCGGCAGCAGCAATGCCCACCATCACCGCCCTGCCCCCGTCCCTCACTGCATGCACCGTCTGCCCAAAAGTCTCCGCCCGCCCCAACGCCTCCACCGCCACGTCCACCCCCCTGCCCCCCGTTATGGCCTGTGGGGGGGATGGGGCGCACATGGGGCACACACGGGGCACACATGGGGCACACATGGGGCACACATGGGGCACGGTGACCACAAGTGAGTGAACCACAGGGGCTGAGGGGGATCACACTCGCCGTACCACACACCCCACCCCACCCGTGCAGCACCCCCACGGTGCACCCACCCTGATGGCGTCCACCACGTCCTCTTTGGCGGCGTTGACGGTGTGGGTGGCGCCCAGGGCACGGCAGCGCTGCAGCTTGTCCTCCCCCACGTCCACCGCTACGATGCTCGCCGCCCCCATGGCGCGCGCCACCTGCACACAGCTGCCGCCCACGCCGCCCGCCCCCACCACCGCCACGGTCTCGCCGGCCCGCACGTCCCCCGCGTGGCGCAACGCTCCGAAGGCGGTGAAGAGCGCGCAGCCCATGACGGCGGCCTCGGGCAGCGGCAGCGCGGGGGGCAGTGGCGCCACGGCGGTGGCAGGCGCCACACAGTAGTCCGCCAGCCCGCCCATGCTGTACATCGCCAGGGGGGCCGCTGGGGGGGGGGGGGGGGGGGGGGAGAAGGGGGGGTGCGACGGGGGTAAGGGGGGCTGTGGGGAGGAGGTGGGAGGGGGGTTGGGTGGGTGGGGTGGGTTGGTTGGGAGTGAGCAGGTGTGTTGCAGCATGGCATGGAAGAGGGGTGACAATGTGCGCACATGGCGGTGTTTCTCTGAGCACAATGCTGCATGGCCATGAGCATGGCCATGAGCATGGCCATGAGCATGGCCTGCTTCAGCCTCAACGTGGTGCAAGTGGAGCATCGCTGGCAGGCAGGCAGGCGCTCACCGGAGGGGTCGGCGGAGAAGAGGCGCGTGTGGCCGTCGTAGAGCGTGCCGTGCAGGCGGTTGAATGCAAAGAATGTGGAACATATGTCCTCCTGCCCCTGCCATGCGCGCTCGGGATGAGAGGCGTGGAAAAGAAGGCCGTGTGGGCAGGGTGAAGTGTGGCATATGTTGGGTGTATGCATGCAGCTGGAATGATGTGGCGTGGCGTGGCGAGGGCGAGTGACTGACATGGGTGCAGAAGAAGCAGGAGCCGCACGGCATGATGAACGCCGCAACCACTCGTGATCCCACCGGCACCCTGCTCCCCCCGCGTATGCATCGTGGTCACGACAGGCAGGGGGCAGCAGGGGGGGACAGGAATGAGAAGAGGCAGCAGGTGGGTGGCACTGTAAAGGCCGAGCACAGCAGGCGTCACCCCAGGGTAGTAGCGGCAATGGCGCTGGCTGCATTGATGGCAGGCGGGTGAGGCAAGCATTGATGGCAGGCGGGTGAGGCAAGCATTGATGGCAGGCGGGTGAGGCAAGCATTGATGGCAGGCGGGTGAGGCAAGCATTGATGGCAGGCGGGTGAGGCAAGCATTGATGGCAGGCGGGTGAGGCAAGCCCGCAAGGCACACACAGGCAGCAGCTGTGCGTGCTCACTGCACTGCGGCCTGCTACCAGCACGCCATGCCACCCAGCGCACCTGGCGATGGTGTCAGCATCAGTGCCGGCGCCATGGTCCACGACCTCCCCGCTGACCTCGTGGCCCAGCACACAGGGCGCGGGGAACGCCACGTGGCCGCGCATCACATGCAGGTCCGTGTGGCACACTCCGCACGCTAGGGGCGACCAGGTGGGGGAAAGCGAGATGCAATAGGGGGCAGAATGTGAGAGAGTGGGTTGGGAAAGAGGCAGTGAATGGGGAATGCGCAACGGGATCACGCCATCTCGCCTCCAGCTGCCTTTCAACCCCTCCCCCAACATGAGCGTGTGGCGCAGTGCGGAGGGGCTCACCGCGTGTCTTGATGAGCACCTCGCCCGCCTGGGGCCGCGGGATGCGCAGCAGCTCCACGCGCAGCGGCGCGCCCACCTCGCGCATCACGGCGGCGCGCATCGTGGACGCGCCGTGCTGCACGGGCAGGGGAACGCTGCTGGCAGCGCTCGTGCACAGCTCCGCGGCGAGCTGCGACGGCACGATAGGTGAGAAGGAACGCGAGACACGAGGGGCGGAGCCGGAGGGATGAGGGGCGGAGGGCTGAGTAGACTCAACCAGCGAATGGAGCGCGCGGAGAAGCAAAGGTGATGCGACGGATCCGTCGGTCTGAGCGCAACTCTCGGCACCCTCGCAACGAGTGGCGGCGGGAGGCCCCTTGCTCCTCGGGAGGACTACTCCCGGGGGAAGCGCAAAGCGTGCACGCGCATGGCGACTCCAAGAGCTCCGACGAAGGACCCGAGCGGCAGCGGCAAGGCCGGTGAGGGCCATTTAGGCGATGTGGCGGGGCAGTGCGTGCGAGGATTTGATGTGTGCGCAGCCTTCGCTACGCAAGGGGCGGCATAGTCCGAATGGGGACCACATGAGTGGTGAACTGCAGCAATGGCCGACTCGCCACGCCAGCGGACATGGTGGACAGTGTTGACATGTGCGTGTGGGCCACGTCAGAATCGTCGATAATGATAAAGCGCTAGAAAGTGTAGTCTGCAGCTAGTAAGATTTGTCAGGAAAATCACCCATAATTCCTACAAGTTTCATGGAATTTGGGGGGGGAAAGTGCATACACCACCAACGCCATTCCGTAATATTTCTATATTGACACTTCATATCGTGGTTCTATTCTGTTCAAGACGTTTGTTTCCAATACTGAAAATATATATGATTGCACAGAAATAATTCTTTCAGTCATCTAGGATTGCAGAAGTCTAGTAAGTGTAATCAGAAGCTATTTTTCCCTTGGGCTGGTGCCGCCACTACTGACAAATTTGTTACCTGACTGAAGTCGACGACTTCGCTTGGTATCGCCCTTATCCTAAACCCACGTCACAAGCCAATAGAATGAACACATTTCGATCCATTGCGATTCACGCCTCCACGTGGCAAGGCTCCCACTCAAGCTGTTGCAAGGCACTCAGGACTTGCATTGCAAACAACAAAGACTAGCTCAGATGCTCCACTCGAGTTTAGCACTGCAGCCACCGCACTGAAACTTTGCTCCTTCACAACCAGTAACCATGGCTTGCGTCGCCGCTTGCTCCCTTGCTGCCCCCGCCGCTGGCCTGGCGGGCTCCACCCTCGCTGCCCGCAAGACCGCCCGCATCCAGCTCAAGTCAGGTAGGTTTTTACGATTAGTTGCAAAATGTTCCTTGATTGAGAACCTGGAGCATTACTGACGGTTCGTCTCATGTTGCAGCATTTGTTGGGCAGCGCGCCGTGGTGCAGGCTCCTCGCGCCGAGGCTCGCGTCACCTGGTATGTGAATCGGTCCGCAACGGTTGTTTGATTCCTAACAACGTTCCACCTCCCATCATTTCTGACGTTCAGATTGCTCTTCGTGCCTTCCTGCTTGTGACAGCTTCGTGCGTGACTGGCTCCGCACCGACCTGTCGGTGATCGGCTTCGGCTTCGTAGGGTGGCTCGCGCCTTCCAGCATTCCCGCCATCAACGGCAAGTCCCTGACCGGCCTCTTCTTTGAGAGCATTGGCCCCGAGCTGGCTCACTGGCCCACTGGCCCCAGCATTGACTCCCCCATTTGGTAAGCGCGTCGTATCTTTGACCCCCCCCCTGTCGTCTTTATCTATCTATTTTGCGGCGACTAATTTGTCAGTTCCCAATTTCAGGTTGTGGATGATCTTGTGGCACTTCGGTCTCTTCGCCTGCCTCTGGTGGGGCCAGATCGGCTTCAAGTCTCGTGCTGATGGCCTTGACAAGATGTAAATTCCGTCGTCTTGGAAGTGAATGTACAGCATTAATATGAAAAGATACGTTCTTGTCGATCGCACACTGCTCCACTTACACGTGCACCAGTGATGTGAGTGCATTTGGAAACGTGTCACGACCCATACAGTTAGGCTGAATTCGCCTCCCCAGCAAGCAAATGTGCCCGAAATTAGGTGCGGAATCTTCTGCTAAGGCAAACTGAAAACCTTACCCTAGCTCGTATACTGACCCGGGGATTAGTCGATTCGCCCGGATAGTACACTCGGGAAAGAAATATTTTAGTTACAGATAAACTGTGTACGAACGAGGCAGAATCCACAAGGACCCGTCTGTCAGAACAGCTATAGCCTTAGGAGCCATGGTTAAAGAAGTAAGGACGCGTCACGAATATTAAAACGGCCAGAATTTTTTTAGTTTAGTTACAAGAGGTACAGCTCAGATGACAGTACCTGAATGCGTACTGTACATTGAGAGTGTCCCTCGAAGCAGCTGTAAGTTCACGGGCAATTGCATTCAAAGCATGCAAGCACTATTATGCAGATGCATTCCATAGACGGCCGTAGGGGAAAGTGGATGACGGTCAGAAAAAACTAAACCCCATCTGGATGGCATGCGACTGGGGGAGCCTCAACCCTCAACACGGGTAACCGCGTAATTTGCCAGCAGGCCGACATTTTTGCCTGAACCGTCTATTGTATGCATTTGCATACTTGCACCAGCAAAATCTGCATGCGTTAGGTAAAAGGCGTAAGTTCACTCACACGCTCAACATACTACAGTGCAATTGCAGGGCGAAAATACAAGGGTTACAGGAGTTCGCTGGAATTTTTGCATGTCTGTTACGAGTGCAATTGAGTGAGCGAACGAGAATTGCACTATCGAAGCAAGAATACAATGAGCGAAGGCATGAGCGAAGAATATATAGCGAAACTACAGTGGTAACGGTAATGGACTGTGGTGGTCGCGCGACGGGCCTGGGACCGAGGTTGGGAAAATGTCGAAACGTAGGCCCGGAGCGCGGGTGTCAAATGTTGTAGCCTGTAGTGAGGTTTGTCTTAGGGGGTACAGAAGTTAGGGTTTGTTATATGTACCCCTACCAATATCAATGGAACATTCATTCCTCATTCTGACATGGTATCAGCTAGGTTAGGATCCTGTGGGATCCCGTTCCTCCGTTCTCCGTTCGTACCTCCCGAGCCTGATCCTACCTCTCGTTCGTACCAGTTCCGTGGTTACCGCGCCTAGTACCGAGCCTAGCGCCCTTTCCCCCCGTCGCGTCACGCCCTTTCCCCCCCGTCGCGCTGAGCCCTTTCCCCCCGTCGCGTCGCGCCCGTTCCCTCCCGTCGCGTCGCGCCCGTTCCCCCCGTTGCGTCGTGTCCGTCTGTTCCCCCCCCGTCGCGTCGCCCTGTCCCGTCCCGTCGCCCTGTCCCGTCGCGTCGCCCTACCCCGTCGCGTCGCCCTGCCCTGTCCTGTCGCCTTGCCCCGTCGCGCCGCCCTGCCCCGTCGCGACGCCCTGTCCCGTCGCGTCGCCCTGCCCCGTCGCGTCGCTCCCGCCCTTTCCCCCGTCGCGTCGCCCTGACCTCCGCCCTGGCCCGTCGCCCTCCCTAAGCCCTGGCCCATCGCCCTACCCTAGGCCCTGGCCCGTTGCCCTACACTACGCCCTGACCCGCACCTCCCTGACTCACGCCTGTGCCCCCCATTTTCTGTGGCCCTACGCGGTCAGGTACGCCGCGCACCAGCTGAACCTCTGGCCACGTGTCTCTCGACCAGAGGTTTCACCGACCAGTCTTTGGACAGGGTCCCCTGGTGTTGCGTCGCGGTTTCGTGTCTGGGGGTGCTTGGCTCTTGTCCGCGACACCTCCGCGGACAAGCTCTCGCCTCGTGCCGTCCCCTGTGTCTTCCTTGGTTTCCCTGAGGACTCCTCTGACTTCACCTTTTACCACCCTCCCTCTCACCGGTTCTTTGACTCCCGTGACGTCCGTTTCGAGGAGTCCACTCCGTACTACGTCAGGTACCCCAGTCGAGGTCTCCCGGTTCCTCCTCCCCCCCTCTTCCTGACTGCCGCTCCCCCTCCTGCTCCCCCGGTACAGCCTCCCCCCCCCTGGTCCAGCCCCGTCAGGTGTGTCCCAGGCTACCCCTCCTCCTTCGGTAGCCCCTCCGGTACAGCCTCCCTCCCCACAGTCCTCCTCGCAGCGTGCCGCTGGTGCTAGCTCTCGAGAGGTTGGTGCGGCGCCTGTTCCAGTACCGGTTTCTGGTTCTGGGGGTGCTGGAGTTGGAGCTGGAGTTGGCACTGGAGTTTCTGGTTCTAGGGGAGCTGGAGTTGGCGCTGGGGTTGGAGCTGGAGTTTCTGGTTCTGGAGTTGGAGTTGACCCGGTGGGTGCAGAGGACTCTTGTCGTCCGGGAGCTGGTGCTGGCCGCGCGGACACTGAGGGTGCGCCTCCTTCGGGTTCAGGTGAGCCTGGGTCTGGAGCTGGTGCTAGTGCTTCCTCTGGGGGTGGTGTGCCTGGTTCTTCGGGGGTGGACTCTGGAGCTGCCGCTGCTTCGGACACTACTCCGCCCCCCCACCCCTACCCGACTAGGCACCAGGCTCGTGTTCACCGTGCCCGTGACGAGCAGCTGGCGTTGGAGAGAGAGGAGAGGGAGTTACAGCGGCTGCTGCAGCAGCAGCAGCAGCAGCAGCAGCAGCGGCTGGAGGAGCAGCGGCAGCAGCAGCAGCAGCTGGACCCGCAACAGCAGCAGTCGCAGCAGCAGCAGCAGCAGCCACTTCCTCCTCCTGTCTCGGGTCTTCGGACCCTTGGTCTCCCCTCCCCTTCTCCTCCCTCCTCCGCCTCTCCTCCTGTCTACGGTCCCACGTTTCCTCCTCCTGACTCCTCCCCCGCTGTTTTCCCCAGTTCTCCGCCCTTGTCCTCTTCTCCTCCGTCTCGTTCTTCGGCTACTCGTCGCTCCCCTCGTGCTCGTCCCTCGTCTCCTGTTCCCTTCACTGACCTTCGTACTGCCTTACTTTGTTCTAGTCCACCTCGTCCGTCTCAGTCTGTGCTTCCGTCTCCTCCTGAGTCGGCCCTCACTGTGTCGCTCCCTACTCCTGTCACTGACTACTACCGCACGTACCGTCCTGTTCTCTCTCGTGTTCTCGCCTCTCTTGTTACTCACCCTCGTGCCTCTGTGTCCTCTGTGTCCGCTCTTACTGCCGCAGTCATTGACTTTGCCTCTACCCGCCGCCTTGACTACGCCACCACGCTTGTGACTGCTCCTCCTCCCAGTCCTCTAGCCGTCGGGGGTGTGTCTGCCCTTGGCTGTGACGCCCTAGAGGACAGGCAGTTTGAGCTAGAGTTCCTGGCGGCCGCTTCCCCTCATCTCTGTGCCATGCTCCTCGCCCCTGAGGGTGACCCTGACGCCCTTGACATTCCGACTCCTCGCACTTACGCTGAGGCAGTGTCAGGGCCTTGGGCCTCTCAGTGGAGAGCTGCCATGGACGCAGAGATGGCCTCCTACAGATCCACAGGCACCTACGTCGATGAGGTTCCCCCCCCTGGGGCGAACGTAGTCGACGGC